AGGGGGGAGGGGAGCACACAGGTACAGTACGCTTAGGAACAATTTTTTTTATCAACCATCTTATTGTCCAGCAAAGTGCGTGAGTGACCTTTTTCCCCCACGGAACGGGTGTACCCTTTGACGTATCTTTGTGATCTGCCACTTTCCCCGCTACCTTGAAACACACACTCCAAGGGCTCAAGGCGAACCTTGGTCGCTGCATCAGTGCATCTAAGCTTAACTCTTGGCGCTGCCTGCCCTCCTGTAATGTCTGGTCTGTTCCCAATTCCATCCATGCTTCAGCTGCCCCTAAACCCTTTTCATGCCTTCCCTGGTACCCACGCTTTGCTGTTTTGGTGCTGGTCTTCTCTTCCCAACATTGGTTATTGGACTACTTTGTATAGACACGGCACGAACCCCTCCTCTATCCACTTACCTTCGATGCCCTCCCCTAAGTGAACCTACCACTCTGGGTAAGGTCTGTCGGCTCAATGCCGCCGCCCCTTATGATGACTTGGATGAGACACAGTGAATGGAGCGTTATTGCCGCACTTGCCAGCCTGCCACCAGAAGAGAAAGTGTGGATGGATGGATTATGGAGTCAGAGTACGTACCTCCTTCGGGGACGGGGACGGGGACGGGGACGGTGACTAAACCACCAGACACACAGTGCAAGACTGGCCCTGTACCTGAATTGAAGACTCCATATTACACGCCATTCCCTTTTACTCTAATGCTTTGCTTTTGCTTTGCTTGCTACTTGTTGCTTTTGGCTTGTCTCTTTTCGTGATGTCAAAATGCCCATGCTTTTTGATTTCTCCCTTCTGCTTTTACTTCTGCACAGTAGAGAAACTCCACCACCTCTTCTTTTCCTTCCCTTCTCCCCCACCTCCCATTTCCCTTCTTCATCTTTTGCCTCCTTTTTGCTTTTGCCCTTTTGGTCATTGGCTTTTTATTTTGTCCTCTCCTTTGCCTTGTGGCTGTAGTCGTCGCCTTTCCGCGTCAACCCTCATTTTATATGAGCACTTATTGTAATTGCCTGTCTCATGCGCGTGTACGAAGGAAGGAGTACACTACCTTAGAAAGTTCTCACTGCCTATCTACCACCCTGACGGTACTCACGAATAGACTAACCGCGCTACTCCAGTTCTATGCAGATTAGAGACACCGATTGACATTTACAGATTACATTCCTAAAAACATGTTGCAGAACTGTGGAAAAGCAAAAGCTTACCACAGAGTACTGTACACCTCTAAAAGAGTAGTAATCATCTTTCTTCTACCGTATGTGCGTACGTGCATTGACACACATGATTGTGGTTTCCCCCTCTCCCCTTCTCAATGCCGGAGTTTCAGATCTTTTGCCGCTACCCCTGCTTTCTTCATCATTTGTTTGTCCTTTATGGTAACAAATTTCCAGATCCTACAAAGTAGTTTTGAACGTGATCTCATCATACTCCCTAACGCTGGGCGTGCGATTGGTTTTGTGTGCTCCGTATGAATTGATGAATGTATGTAGTCTTCTTAGAACTCGGGGGAAGGGGGGCGGGTGGAGGGCGTGATTGACGCGTGTTTCGAATGAGGGTTTTTGCTGCATTGTGTTTCGTTAGATTGTTTTGAAGGAGGGACTCGGGAGGGTTGATGCCCGGGTATCAGATTTACTCGGGCGAGTAGCCAACGAGAGATGCTATGCCATGCCACCATTCAATGCAAAAATAGAAATCTATGAACGCTAAGATTGAAGAAGGAGAGAGCGAGATTTGAACTAGAGAGTAGGTTAGATTTGAAAAAGATCTCTTAGTCATGAGCGATGTAGAGAGAGGAAAAAGAAGCAAGAACCAAAAAAGGACCAAGATGGAAATTCAGATTAGAAAAACAAAAATGGGTCGAAAGAGGGAAAGGCGAAAAATGGAAAATGATTGGAAGTGGAAAAAGCAGAGAAAGAAAAAAAAAAAAAAGGACAAAACAGAAAGAAGGAAATGAGAAGTTGCAAAAAGGAAAGTCGAGAGGAACCAAAAACAAAAATCATTAATTTCTTTTTTCTTTTTCTTTTGCCTTTTTTGGCTCTCCTCCACCCCCCCTCTCCCCTCTCCTCTCCCGCTCAAACAAATCCCAAAGGAAATAAGAAGAAAAAAGGAAAACAAAAATCCAGGGAAAAGAAAAATAAGGAAGACCCATCCAAAACCTTGAGAGTCACCCGAGGAACTGGTTCCCATTTGGAGATTTCCCTTTTCCCACTTTTTCCTCTACTGTACGGAGTAGTAAGTGAACTAAACTAATACTAAACTAATTTCTGCCACTAGAATAACTACACTAATCAATTACGACTAGCACTAATTCATTGCTTTTTCTCTTTTGGCACATATGTTTTCAATGTCTTCAATTTAATTTAACCCATGTTTTTTTTTTTTTTTCAACATTTCAACATTGGCGCCGTTTCGAAGCCTAAGAGGCCCAAAGGAACGATCTGCAACCGTCCCCGACGGGACGTCGTCAGTGGCACTAAACCCATCACCAACACGGCAACGCCAGGGCTTCCTTTCGTCCCTGCGGTCCATCCTCATGCTGAGATCCTGTATTTGTTCATAAGCTTCGCCGATCCCCTTCGGGCCCTTCCCCAGACTGTCTTTCCTTCTTCCTATCTGTCGGGTCCTCGATTATAATATTCCTGTCTCTGTCTCAGTCTCAGAACCAAATATCTCCTCGACTATTTACACAGCTGCCTCCCCCCTGCGCATCTTTCTTCCATTCTATACATTAAAGCGCGGATCCCTTCCTACCACCTACCGTTTCCTCTTCCAACACATTACTCTTCTTGTGTTGATCATCTTTCACCCTCGATTCTCTATACCTGATCTTCCTGATTCACCTCTCCTCCTTCCTTCCTTCCAACCAAATCGCACGCGCGCAGTTGCTTGCTCTCTGTTTGTTGTGTCCCTACTTTCCTAGGGATACTCCGATCGTCACCGTCAACCACGCTACCTCTCTTCAACGATCAGCTTCCGCTACGCGCGATCACCACTATTCTCCATGACGATGGTCATTGAAAACCAAAACCGCCAATACGGCGGGATGGGCTTTGATAGTGTCTATCAACACAACATCCACCACACCCCTCCTCAATTCACCGATCCATGGGCCGCCGCTCAAACAACCTCCCACTCCAACCCTCCCGTATATGCGACAGCCCTGGCACCCAGCCCGATTGGCCTCAACCATGTCAAGCAGGAAGAAGTGAGCCGCCCGGCGGCGATGTCGATGTCATATTCTAGCATCCCCGTTTCCGCTCCGTCCATGGTTGCCGGAAGCAACTATTCCACTGCCACTGCCACAAGCTACCCCGGACCGGAGATGATGGGATTGTCGCACGATATCCCACGCACATCGTTCGAGCAAGCTCCCGCTTACACCACAGCTTCCCCCATGACCAGCTATGCGCCAGCCAGCTATGCACCTTTGAGCTACGCTCCCCACATGCACCAAGACCGACGGATATCCCATGCGTAAGATACCCCTTCAATGCGCAGCTGCTCAGAGCACCTGGAATGAGGAAACGAATATATGCTGACAGTCATTTTCGCTTTACAGTGATGCTCGCGTCAGTCAATCGCATCCTGCTTCTGCCCCGACTTTCGGTGACGCTCTGGATGCTAGCCGGGGAATGGTCGCGCTTAGCCAGGATTTGACGCCCCGCAACATCTATGGTCCTCGCAGTGCGCGAGGCTCCGGCGACTCCTATGGCTTCCCCTCGACTCACTCTTCGGGATCTTCGATCTCCTCCGCTAGCAACTACCCTTACTACAGTGCCTCGGTGGCATCTGTGGAATCTTCGGTTACCGATTATAGCTCGACCACCTCGGAATCCTACGAGAACGGTCATTTGTCGCGGACCCTTCCGCGCCCATCGAACCTTTTGACGGGAAGCGCACCTCCCGGACCTCAGTCCATGATGAGTCAGTTTAGCTCCAAGATGCCGTCCAACACACAGAAGAAGCACAAGTGCAAGGTGTGTGACAAGCGGTTCACCCGCCCGTCGTCGCTTCAGACCCATATGTATAGCCACACTGGCGAAAAGCGTAAGTTCCAGACCGAATCTGTCGAACGTGGTTTTCTGTGAAACTAACAGCATGGGATCTAGCATTTGCATGTGACGTGGAAGGCTGTGGTCGCCACTTCTCGGTTGTCTCCAACCTGCGTCGACACAAGAAGGTTCACAAAGGAGAAAAGGAGGGCGGATCCGGCGACGACGAGGAGTAAATTCAATGACCCTCCTTGTCCACGTCGAACGCCTCTCTCATCCCTCTCACAGCGAAGAGGGGCGAATTCAACATTTCATCTCTACGTCGTGCGATGATCACATTGTGCGACGCGGCCTGTCTCAATGATGGGGCCTCCTCCTTTGTACAACAGCATCATTTCCTCCACCATTTTCTCTTTCCCGACTCGCCCGACGTGGCTGAGTGTTGATACCCCGTTTATATTTTCTCTTTTTCTTACTGTTTATTTCCCCCGTTATATCTTTTCCCTTCTATCTTATATCCCCAAGGACAAGCAGGACATGGTACAACGGCTTGGGTGGGTTGTTCGTGATGTCTTGAATACCCAGAGTTATGACCATAGAGGTACCGGTTGTTTTGTCTTCATTGTCTTTTTTTTTTTTTTTTCTTGTTTCCTTTGTCATCTCTGTTAGACTGGGGAGTTGGTCATTTTTTTTCTCTACATCTGGCATGATTTCTTACTCCGATACCAAGTGGGAAGTGGTTGATTTGTTGCGCGTTTCCAGGGCATGATATGAAATGCGGGAGGAAATGTTCACACAGCAGGGCTGTTTGACCGGGTTCGGATTTGTTTTCTACTTGTCTTTTGCCTGCCTTTTTTCATACGGCTGTCTGTCCTCTATCATAAGATGGTGGGGCTTGACAATGGGGTTCATCTGGAATTCTTCGACGGGGGTTACCTTACAAAAAGGCGGCGCACTCTTCCAGTGTTCTGACATGCGAGTGCTTGGCTGATATATACCCTGTTGCAATTTGGGCGGAGCATGGATTGGGCAGTGGCAGGTGGTTTTGCATTTTTATTTTTATTTTTTTTTCCAGTTTTACTTTCCTTTGTCATGGTCCAGATTTGGTTGGAAACATATACATTTAGAGACACAAGCAACAGTGTCACCCACGGTCGCTACATACATTAATTGTCTAATAAAGATTTGACATCAACCTTTGAAATTTGTGTTAAGCTCAAGTACAGCTCTGAGGGCAAGAATGGTAGATGTGTTGTGGAGTACTGGTAGTCCTGTCCATTGGGTGTGCTGTGCTGTGCTTTATGTGCTTTCAGGTTCCGGGTACTTTGTTTTGGCTGGCTTGCTTGCTTGAAAAGCCCATCGAAAACTTGAACATCCCACTACTATGTGCCTCATCAGAGAAGGCATTCTACCTAGAGTTATCTTCCCACCCCCCCGAGCTTCTATACTCTCCAACCCGAGAAAAGTCAGGTGGAAAGTAAGGAACCAAATCCCACCCACCACCACCGCCGCCACCCGCAACTCTCAAACTCCCTCCCCCCCGGGGCGCGCCTCATTTTCATGCACGGCACACTTTCCTCCTCTAACTCGCCTACCCTTACCTTACCCTATACACCCCCCCCCGGGAGTCGCCTTACAGGCTACAGCTACAGCTACAGCACGATAGACTCTTCCCGCGTGCGCCTGACAAACCATTTTCCTTTCGCAACTATCCACTCGTTGTGGTTTGTATCGGTCTTAGTGCACTAGGGAAAGGGAAGTGGGAATCTCTATGCTCGTGTATTAGGATTCTTGATGTGATGCAATAGTCTGGGTTGCACTTTGTTTGTTTAGGGTTGTTGGTGAGTGGGTGGGTGTGTGCTCCCTGGGGGAGGAGCTTTTCTGCTTCTCGCAGGTGGTCACTGAAGTTTCATTGCAGACTGCGCACGGCACAACAACCCCTCACTGGGATACTGGGTATATGGTACATGCCTGTGCGAAACAGCGACATATCCGTTCAGATCAGTATCTCTGTGCTATGCACTGAATAAAGCTATAGCTAATATCGGAACCCCGAGTTCACGCCCATCAGCCGCCCCTGATATCTCTCCATAACCTCCCCCAGCTTCACCATCACCCCCGCAGCCAACGTCCGCACCTGCTCGCGGGGATCGCTCGTGTCTTGCACGGCGGGCGTCCGGTCGAAGACCTCCCCGACCCAGTCGCGGAGCTCGACGACCTGCGTCGCAAACTCGGTGACAAGCCGCTCTTCGCCGGTCGTGCCGGCGGCGACGTTCAGATCGACGACAGCCAGGAAGAGCGAGAGGAGGGCGGAGAGGATGCTTGGGTCTTCGGCGAGAGGGCGGCCGTGGAGCGAGAGCAAGAATTTCAGGGTTTCTCCCGTCAAATTGGGTAGGTACGGCGTGTGGGGGCCCATGGTTGAGAGGACGAGGGTCAGCGTTTGGATGAACAGGCATAGGAGATGCGGCACGTAGAAGGGGTTGTACGAGGGAGCAGTGGATCTAGCAAGCAGAGAATAAGAATAAGTCAGTGTGCGTTCAGGTTCCAGGCTGGAGATGGGGAAGGGCTTACGAGCCGAACTGCATCATCATCACTTCGAAACGCCCCTTGAGGGGATAGAAGAACCCTTGTGCCAACACCTTGTACAGATCCTTGACAGTCGACTTCTGCCGCTGCGCTTCACGTTGCTGGCGTCTCTTTTCGACCTCCATGCGCGAAGAAAACGTGCGCACCTTGAGGGCGCTGGGTCCAGACAAAGAGTCTTCAGCATGAGCTGCGAGCGGCTCTAGCGAAGCGCGCGCCATTGATTTGGTCAGGCCCGCGATGGGTGACACCGTCGAGTAGAAGGCTTCCAGGCTGCTTGGTAGCTTCTTCGATGGGAAAGAGGCATCTGGCATGGCTGGAAGACCAAGGGTTTTTGCATCGGCTTCGCCGTTACCAGCTAGCTCGCGAGCACTTAGGCCGAGCGCGGTCAGTACAGCAGAGCGCTGCGGTTGAGAAAGGTCTCCATCGAAGAATAGCGCTGCGAACCAGTGACCCATTTTCAGTGGCTGAGAGACGATCAACGCGATCATGCTTTGGAGCTGGTACTCGTGGAGCCTGGGAAGCTTCCCCTGTTCCTGCAGGCTTACCATCACAAGAGCCAGCTCTTCGATATTCTCAGCAAGCTCGGTACCGAATCCAGTCTTGCGTCGTATCAGGGAAGGGGCGGTGGAGACGGCCAATTCGAAACGTTCGACATTCTCGGTGTCTCTTAAGAAGGTGATTAGATCGCGAATGTACCTACAAAACAAATTAGTTGTGTTGTGGCGAGGGCTTGCTTCATGAGCTTACACAGGTGCTGTGGGCTTATTCCGCTGAACCAGTGTCGGATCTTCGTCGTCATCGGAGAAATCCTCATCGGGTTTCTCGTAAGGAATAAGATCATCGTCCTCGGATTCTTCTTCGGAGTCCTCGATCTCTTCGATCGCAACAATCTTGGCCGTTCTTGTGTTGGCTTTCTTCGAGGGCGCTGCCCCCTTAATGGTAGAGACTTTCTGCGCAGGCGTCCGTTGTGTTGACGGTGTGGACCCCTTGAGAAGCTTGATCGACTCAGGGGATCCTACATTGTCCTGTAAATTGAGCAAGCTCAAATACCACTTTGCCTCATCACCTTCCATTTCTTCAAGGTCAAACTTCATGCCCTTGCCGGCTGGTTCAATCAGTTGCGATATCGCTGTACCAATGAGCATCCCGAGAAAACGCGCTCGCCCAGAAGAGGCTGCCAGACGGTTCGATACAGTGTTGAGGAATATCCCAGACCGACCCACACGCATCACCTCCAGCGGGTCAGTTTGTTGCAGATATCCACAAGTCAGAAGAATAACTTGGGTGTTTGCTGAGATTCGTCAGTGAGAGGACTGGACTGGAGGTTCAGGGGCACAGTACCCTCCTGACATCTGATCGGGGCATGTTGAATGTAGAGCTTGTCCCCGGACTGATCGAGGCTCTTAGTAACCAAAGAAACCATCAAATCTCAAGAACATATGTCAGTCAGTATAGAGGCAGATGAACTTTCTCATGATCTCTCTCACCTGTCGCATGGGCAAAGCTTGCCAGCAGTGCACGGCGTAGCTCGATCGTATGTATGGAGCCGCCCTGGCCTTTCGACAGCCAATCGATAATCTGTGCCTGTACTTGCGGCCTATCCTTCGTGATAAGGGAGCATAAGGCTGCAACAGCGCCAATCACTTCTTGCGAAACAGTCTGTGTCTCACCAGGGATGCTTGATGAGAAATGCTTCTTCTCAATGTCTCTGAATATGGCTTCTATGATTGCAATTTGCTCATTCGGTCGGAGATGGTCGAAAAGAGTGTAATACTGTTGATAGTCTGCTTCGATTACAAGAAGTCCCAGATAGATCTCCCGAACCAGATGATCTAGACATCATGTTAACATCGAAGATAATGTCAGAGCAGAGCATCTTACCAGTGTACCCAAGACTCAACGACCGTCCGGTCAAAGTAGCCACGGCTTTACACGCCCCCTCATTATCAAGAGGCAACTTTGAAGCCATGTAACATATATTTGTGCCGAGCCAGTAGGCATACCTGGGCCCTTCTCCCACCCAGGACAAAGAGTTGACCCCATCGAGGTCTTTAATCAGTGAAATCGCTTCCGCAGCCGTTGAGAGGATCCTACTAGCAGCAACGTGGGAGAGTAATTCCCTCCATGCCGCTTGCTTCTGAGCTGGATTACGATAGAGACCTTCGATATCGGTATACAGACGGTACATCAGATCATTGGGCTCCAGTAGAGCACATATCACTGACAGGATGCCTCTAGCCTGGAGCTGATGGCCCGATGCACTCGCTTCCTGAGCAGATGACCGACAGGCGGTGATGAGAGAGCGAAGCTGGGTCAATAAGCAACTAATACCTGCAACGTTACTTAGACATCTTAACACGGCCGCACGTAGCTTGGAGCTCGATCTCGACCTTCGGGACTCCGCGTGGACTGCATCCCAATGATCCGGAAGAGTAACGGTGACCAGAACATTGAGGATCTGCGCTGTTTTGGGACCTGGGACCCGAATATCAAAGTCGTTCAGCGTCGCTGTCTTACTTGCCGGGTCAAGGATTGCCAGGGCGTGTGCGAGTTGGTCCTGGTCGGGCTTGGACTTCAAGAGCGCTAGTATATCCTCAGGTGACGAGACGTCCCGATTAAGTTCGGATACAATACGCTTCTCGGGGATGACATCAGGAGATGACGACTCGGCAGCAGCTGAGATGAGCGTCTCTCGATCCGGCGTGACCGTCTTCACGACTGTGAGAAGACTGTCCATGTCATGAGTGGATGAAGTCGTCAATTCGGCTCGTGGCGTAGACAAGCAAAATTACTGAAGGTGGAAGGAGTTTGTATGGGCGATGCCATGTCACGTGAGGCGGCGTGTTGTATTCGGATTCCGGTCCCTCTAACAATCGAGGATTCAACTCCAAGTTGCTTGCCCCTCGTCACTAGCGAATTTCTTGTGGTCTCATCATCCACCGTATTGCAAGAGCAGCTACGGAAGGTCGGGGAATCTGAAGCACAAGCTGGCTATACCATTTAGTTTGCGTTCATTCCAGCGGTCGGAAAGCGACAGATCAGTTGTATCTCGGTTGTACCGGTGAGATACACGCGCCCCCGAAACCTGGAACATCAGCGGTTCCAGTGTGCAATCCTTAGCTTTTTCATAACACCATCTCACCAAAATGGTCGCTATAGACCAAAAGCTTCGATGGTAAAGTTCTTTGGCCCGGCGGATCACGAGCACAGATGCTGAACCCGTCCAGGAAGCACTTATACAATGTCTTAACGAGGTCCGGCCCATTCAGTGACGAGGACTGGGTTCCTGGGCCAGAGACGATAAGCACGCTAGAATCATCCAAGATCTTGTGAGTATCAACATTTATCCCAACCGTGCTTTTACTAACAGGGAATAGAGTCATGTAAGCTCAGAAACAATCATCAGCGACTTGATAAGAGCTGACCGGGACCGTCCATAGAGGTGCTGGAGGCCTAGGGTGTGAGATCCTGAAGAACCTGGCCTTATCAGGCTTCAGAGACATTCACGTCATCGACATGGGTAAGTTACCCTTCATGCCCGCGCTCGACATGAACATCAGCTAATCAACCAGGACAGACACAATTGATATCTCCAACCTCAACCGTCAGTTCTTGTTCCGTCAATCTGACATTGGCAAGCCCAAAGCCGAGGTTGCGGCTGCGTTTGTGGAGAGACGTGTCAAAGGCGTGAAGATCACCCCTTATGTCGGCAAGATCCAAGACAAAGACGAAGACTACTACATGCAATTCAAGATCGTTGTTTGCGGCCTTGACAGCATCGAAGCCCGACGTTGGATCAACTCGACCCTGGTCGGCATGGTTGATTTTGACAACCCGGAGAGCCTGAAGCCCCTCATCGATGGCGGAACCGAAGGTAAGTGTGCCCCTTGATGTCTCCCAGACAGACACAGATACACACACAGCGGAGGCTCATTATCAGGAAAACAGGGTTCAAGGGCCAAGCGCGCGTGATTCTGCCGACGCTCTCCTCCTGCATCGAGTGTCAGCTGGACATGCACGCGCCCCGACCGGCGGTGCCGCTGTGCACCATCGCCACAATCCCGCGCCAGCCCCAGCACTGCATTGAATGGGCCCATCAGATCGCCTGGCAGGAGCAGCGCAAGGACGACACCTTCGACAGCGACGACCTGGAGCACATCGGCTGGATCTATAATGCGGCGCTGGCGCGAGCCCGCCAGTTCCAGATTCCCGGCGTCACCTTCCAGATGACCCAGGGCGTGGTGAAGAACATCATCCCGGCCATCGCCTCGACTAACGCCGTCATCGCCGCCGCCACCACCTCCGAGGCCCTAAAGATCGCCACCTCGTGCAACCCGTACCTGGAGAACTACATGATGTACGCCGGCGAGGAGGGCGTCTACACGTACACCTTCGAGGCGGAGAAGAAACCCGACTGCCCCGTCTGCGGCAACCTCGCGCGCGCGATGACCGTCGATCCGAACATGACGCTGGAGGCCTTCATCGAGGCGCTGGGCGAGCGACCCGAGGCGCAGCTGAAGAAGCCCAGCATGCGCACGGAGGAGAAGACCCTCTACCAGCGCTTCCCGCCGCAGTTGGAGGAGCAGACCCGGTCCAATTTGAAGCTCAAGCTCAGCGATCTGATCGCGGATGGCCAGGAGATCGCAGTCAGTGACCCGGCCTATACCATCGATTTCCGGTACAGGCTGGATTTCAGCTAAGCCGAGAGCGCACACCATAAGCTGCGGATACGGGAATACATAGTGCAGATGCACTAGTTTAGCTTTTACGAAGAATACACGATTCTCCAAAGATGAGCCATGTCAAGAAGTAGTAGGAGTCAAATCTGCTTTTTTTCTATCTCAAAGATGTTTCCCTGTCCGGACTCCCGGCAAGTTGTAAAGAAGGTTTGTGTGAACCAACCTTTTTCGTAAAATGTACAAACGCAGAAATAAGAAAGCACAAGACAAGAACAAAAAAGTAGAAATCCAACGCCTGGCCAATGCATTATATAGCTTCAAATCATTTTAGGTGGGGGGAGGAAGGGCAACGAGGAGAACCGAATTTAGCGCGCCAGGTCAACGAGACCCCGCTTCCATCTCGCGCATTTCAGCTTCAGCACCTTCACGCTCTCCAGGAACAGCACGTCGCTGTCAAACTGGCCCACGCTCTCCACGTTGAAGATGAAGTGATCACGGACGCGACCGAGCTTCACCTTGCCCTGGAACTCTTCGTGTCTGAGACACTCGCGGCTGACGGTGTCCTTGAAGGCATCGCGCACGACGGCCTTCATCTCGCCCTCGTGACCCTCGTACCCGCTTCCCTTCTGCGAAGCCTCCTCGCGGGTGACCTGCTCCAAGCCGATGACCCCGGCGGGGAAGCACTTTACGAACTTGCGCGCATCCTCGCCGACGATGGGGCGCAGAATCTTGATGTCGGGCAGGAGACGGTACGAGGCGGTCGCGACGGGGGAGAACTTGGCGTGGTCGGCGCCGATGCCCTTGATGACGTGCAGCTCCATGTCGATCTTCTGGCCGGGGCGCAGCTTGGCGATCAGGATGTCCGGGTTGACGGGCTGGATGGCGGCGTCGTCCACGAAGAATTGGTCCTGCCGACCAACCGGGTGGAAGGTGATGTCCCGGGCGTAGACGTGGGCGTGCTTGTAGAGCTTGCGGGGGTCGTCCTCCCCGTTGGCCGCGTGGGGGTTCTTCTCACACTTGACATCCAGGCGCAGGACGATGGTGTTGAAGTCGCTCGGGGTGCTGCCGCCCTCCGGGTCGTCCTCGGTCGGCTTCTTGAACCACCGCATCCAGTTGATGCCCTCCACGGAGCCCTTGAGAGGGATCAAACCCAGCCGCTGCGCGAGCACCTCGTCCTGGATGACGGAGGTGTTGTTGTGGACGAAGACGAATTCGATGGCGATGCTGGGCACCTCGGCCATGAGGATGCGGCGGAAGGCATTGGCAATCGAGGCGTCGACGCCGACCAGCGAGAAGGAAGCTTCGAATTGCTCGTTCCGGTGAAACTCGACGTTGAAGTTCTATTGAGTGAGGGTTAGATATGTAAGCGCATGCGCGCAAAAGACAATTGACAGGGAGGAAGCTGGGCGGAGTTTGAACTTGACATACATCACGGAATTTTTGCAAGTTCCATTCGTGCGACTCGCCAGGCCAGTGACCGGGGAAATCTGTCGAGGCGAAGTTGGAGACGGTTTCGGGATTGATGTCGACAATCTGGGATCGCAATTAGAATAAAGCGTCGGAGAAGCTGTTGGAAGCAAGAGCAGAGAAGCCAAACATACCCGTCTGCGTTGGAGTTCCTCCTGCGAAGCGATGAGTGGTGCCATGATGGGCGAGAAAAGTGGGGGAATGAAGAAGGTGACGGAGGGACAATGATTTGAAGCGGATTCTCAGAAAAGTTCTTTGACCGCAGCGGCAGTATTTTCTGCAGGGCCAAAGGCGGCGAAGAGCAGGAGGGGAGCAGGAGCAGGTCTCTATTCCGCACCCAGCGGAAATGGCTGTTAGCCGCACTAGGGAGCTGAGCAATAGAGGGCCCAGCGGGAGACCAACCAGAGACGGCCTGATGACCAGAAAGCTCCTCTCACGTGACGACCCAAAATGTATCTCGATTGGAAAGCGCAACCTCCAGAAGGCGTCACTGAGTCCGCCTCAATTCCACACCCCAATTCCCGCATCTCCACCCCTCCTTCCAACACCTCCATTGTGTCTGGGCTGAGGGCTGTTCCGCCTCTTCTCACCCTCGTCCTTGCTCCCCGCTCTTCCGAATGGCTGCTCCCTTCGCTCGCCTGGCGGGCAATGCGCCCAAAAGGCTTTGCCTCCGCCCCTCTACCTTCTCCAGAAACACTGCTCTCCCCAGATGCCGCTCGATCACGACGACTCTGCCTCGCCGGGCGGCCGAGCCAACCAGCTACCAGGCGACCAAGCTCATTCCGACTGACCCGACCTTTTCCTCCTTCGCCAATAAGGAAGGTGTCTCCGAAGACGATTACGCCGCCGACATGGAGTCCACGGACGCAGGGGCTAATCGCAAGATCCGCCATTACACCGTCAACTTCGGTCCCCAGCACCCGGCTGCTCACGGTGTGCTTCGGTTGATTCTGGAGCTCAATGGTGAAGAGATCGTCCGCGCAGATCCCCACGTTGGATTGCTCCACCGTGGTACCGAGAAGTTGATAGAGTACAAGTCCTATATGCAGGCCCTGCCGTACTTCGACCGATTGGATTACGTCTCCATGATGACCAACGAGCAGTGCTTCTCCCTGGCTGTTGAGAAGCTGTTGAACGTCGAGATCCCTGACAGAGCCAAGTGGATCCGTACCTTGTTCGGCGAGATCACCCGTATCCTGAACCACCTCATGTCCGTCCTTTCACACGCCATGGATGTTGGTGCTTTGACGCCTTTCCTGTGGGGTTTCGAGGAACGTGAGAAGCTCATGGTAGGCCGCGCTGTCCGCGTCACTTGAACTCGATTGAGCTAATCTGTGATTGTTTGTCCTAGGAATTCTACGAGCGAGTTTCGGGTGCCCGTCTTCACGCTGCCTACGTCCGCCCCGGTGGTGTGTCCCAGGACATTCCCATCGGTCTTCTCGATGATATTTACCAGTGGGCCACCCAATTCGGTGACCGGATTGATGAGACTGAGGAGCTGTTGACGGACAACCGTATCTGGAAGGCCAGAACCCAGGGTGTCGGTGTCGTCAGCGCCGCCGAGGCTCTGAACATGAGTTTCACCGGTGTCATGCTGCGTGGATCCGGTATCCCCTGGGATATCCGCAAGTCGCAGCCCTATGATGCCTATGACCAGGTCGAGTTCGACGTGCCCGTTGGTGTCAACGGTGACTGCTACGACCGTTACCTGTGCCGTATGGAGGAATTCCGCCAGTCCCTCCGCATTATCCACCAGTGCTTGAACAAGATGCCCGCTGGTCCCGTTCGTGTCGAGGACTACAAGATCTCCCCTCCTCCTCGTGCCGCCATGAAGGAGAACATGGAGGCTCTGATCCACCACTTCCTGCTGTTCACCAAGGGCTACTCTGTGCCCCCCGGAGAGACCTACTCCGCCATCGAGGCTCCCAAGGGTGAGATGGGTGTGTTCCTGGTCAGTGACGGTAGCGAGAGACCCTACCGCTGCAAGATCCGTGCTCCCGGATTTGCTCACTTGGGTGGCTTCGACCAAGTATCCCGTGGCCACTTGTTGGCCGATGCTGTTGCTATTATCGGTATGTTCTGCCGTTTTTCAGAAAATTTTCAGACAACCAGCTAATCGTATGTTAGGTACTATGGATCTTGTGTTCGGTGAAGTCGATCGGTAGAGTTGGATGAAGCGTGGCTGAGTATTTCCAGGACCTGTAAAACAGCTTCAAGACACGTGATTCTGATATGGGACACCCAACCATTTTCTTTTGCTATTTAGAAGCGAATACAAATGACCAAGAGAGAAAAAAAAGATTAATTGTCTATATCACTTGTGCGTGTACGGGAAGTGTGTGGGACCAGGGAGCTGTGGGGATATATCAGTTGTACCAATTGGTTTTCATGGCGTTGACTACGTTTGTTCTGATTTCCTGTGTTTTCTGTCTCGTCCTGCACTGTGACCATGTCTCGAGTTTCCTTTTATATCTTCAAATCACCCTGTGTATAGTGACACCATAACTTTCTGACAACATCTGACTTTGAAAATATAGTAGGGGAAGAAGGATGTAGGGGTTTTGGATGAAAGAGAGTATGATGACCTGATTTGGTCAAGAGGGAAAGGAAGTTGACCTGATCATGTACGGCATACGGGACTGTACTGTGTATATACGGCGGACAGGACGATCACGTGGGAAAGGTCTGATCAGGTGACGGGGAGCCTCGGGCAGATCTCCAGCTGATCGACGGGCGGAGCTACTCTTTCCATTCCATAGATCAGACGCACTCTTTCTTTGCTTTATACAAATTATCTTGCATGACCTTTCTGCCACAGAAACACCCCACTTTCGCAGCTACCCCTTCTTACTCGGTGCTCTCTTTTTTCAACATTTCCCTTCCAGAGACACTGCATTCTTGCTTCGCATCTCCCCACCCATAAAGTTCCAGACGTCATCTCCGAACTGACCGTACGACTCGACTCCGCAGAGCCTCAACGGCCGCTGGCTTTTATACTTGAATACCGCTGGAACCCGGTGTGAATGCCTTTGACCTTCTGAGCGTGTGCTGTGCAAGATCCTTATCCACAAGATGTTCGCTACAAAGCGGTTAAGCAAGGTATGTTCTTTTCCCTTTGCCTCTCCGCCCCATCCCCCCGCGAAGACAAATTTCCCCGGCTAACGTTACACCGTCCGTCGCAGGAGCTTCTCAAGGTATGAATGAGTCCCCCCTCCCCCGCCACGAATCCCTCAACAATCATGGGATTTACCTTCAGCAAGAACCTCGCTCTTCTCGACATTTTACTCTCTAGCACAACACAACACTCGAAAAAAAAAGACACAACCCACCAGCTAACACCCTGCGCCTTTTACGTGGCATACAGATAAAAGAACACCTCCCGCCTGGCATCTCGATCGTCAAATCCGACAACCTCGAAGAATGGCTCATGGACATCAAAGTGCTGGACGAGAACCCGCTGTATCTGAACGAAACCTACCGGCTGAAGTTCACCTTCAGCAAGAAATATCCAATTGGTGCGTTCCCCCCTGCTGCCACAAGTATGGAGGGGATGGATGGATGATGCCCCGCGATCTGAATCCAAACCCCGCGCTGCTCTCCCACCCAAGCCTTGAACACCACCACCACCACCACCACCACACCCTCTCATCTACATAAATCCCTCTGCAATCACATATGCCAGTACATGCAATACTAATCTCCTTGGGAAAAAAAATTAGAACCCCCCGAAGTCCAATTCGTCACCACACCCACACTTACCTCCCCCACCCCCGCCTCCTTTGATGATAATGCAACAACAACAAATCCCCGCCGCACCATCCCCATCCACCCGCACATCTACAGCAACGGGATCATCTGCCTCGACCTCCTCAGCTCGGCCGGCTGGTCGCCCGTGCAGACCGTCGAGAGCGTCTGCATGAGCATCCAGAGCATGCTGACGGCCAACAGCCGCAACGAGCGGCCCCCCGGCGACAAGGATTTCGTCTCGTATAACCGCCGCCGGCCCCGGGATATTAATTTCATGTACGATGATGATAATGTATAGCCCTTTCTCTTCCTATCCGGGATTGGGATTGGGGGTGGTGGTTGAAGGCGAGGACGATGGCCCTGTGCTGAGCGATGGGCTTGAGGGGAGAAGGGGAGAGGAGACAGGGAGTGAAGTTCATCCTTGAGTGATCTCTTTCCCGCAGGTTCGTTCTTGGGCTCTATTCTGACGCCCTTGTCGTCGGTTGTGTTTCCATCTGCATGCGGGGGTTGGTTTATTGGCGCGGGCGTATCTGGAGTTTTCTTTTCGTTTTCTGTTTCTGGTTTCGATTGATTCCCTTGGCTGAGCCGAGGCTGAGGCTGAGGCTGGTGCTCACACGTAGTTATCTCCCTCCCGCATCTCCCACATCTCTCGTCCGTCTTCTGGCATTCGGGGACTTCACATATCTCACTGCCGTGCCTAATGCTTCCCCCCCTTGTCTTGTTTCCCTTCTACCTGTGGATTCAAGAAATGAGCCACTATATCTTTACTAATATAACTCTGTGACTTTATCTTAACTTCGTTAGATACTGTACGATGTAACCAGTCAAATGCGAAGATGTACCAATGATCAGATTCTCGTTCACACAAAGATGGACAACCCACGAGAAGATAAGGAAATTATGGACGGGGAATCATTTGAAAAGTAAAGAAAAATGCAGAGGGAGCATTCTCCTCTCCACGGTGTGTGTTCATGTTGTCCAAAAGAAAAAAGCAAGGAAAATAAAAAGCCAATGCCCCCTGCCCCCATTTGAGAAAAAAAAAAGAGCAAACGTGGGCACACAGATAGTAGGGTCGGAAGAGACAATTCACACCCTCTCCCTCACTCTATGGGTAAGCTTCGCTAAACTTCGTAGGACACAGACCACCAAATCAAGCATGAGAGGTCTTCTCGCGAGCCTCCCGCTCCACGCGTTCCCGCTCCTCGATCTCCTTCGCCTCGCGCACCTTGGCCAGGACAACCTCCCTGAAGATCGCGCCGCGGGCGACCTTGCTGAGGCTGCGCTTCTTGCGGGTGGCGTCGCTTTCCGGGGAGGAGGGCGCGTACTTGCCGTTGGGGGAGGCCGGGTCGTTCGAGTGGGGGGCCGCAGCGGCGGCGGCGTCGGCGCCTTCACCGCCGGCCACCTCGACGACGCTGGGGATATCGTCGTCGTCGTCCTCCTGCATCTTGAGGGACTCGATGCGGTTGGCCAGCTTGATGATCTCGATGCCGCGGCGCAGACGCGAGCGGGCGATGTAGGCGCGAATCTCGGGCAGCAGGTCGCGGTCGCTGGCGGTCTCGCCGGTTAGCCAGGGGTGCTTCAGGGCGTCCTCAGACGTCACGCGCTTGGCGGGGTCCGGCTGCAGCATCGTGAGAATGAAGTCCTTGGCGTCCTGGGAGACGTCGCGCCAGTAGCGCTCGTGGAAGATGATCCGCCCCGTGCGGCACTCCTCGATCAGGTCGGTCAGGTTCTCGGACCGGAAGGGCGAGTAGCCGCACAGGAGGGTGTAGGTGATGACGCCGAGGGACCACATGTCGACGGCCTTGCCGTGACCCTTCTTTAGCATCACCTCGGGCGCAGCGTAGCCGAACGATCCCGCCATGCTGGTGAGCACCTCGCTGGGGCTATCCAACATCTTGGCGATACCGAAGTCGGCCAGGACCAAGGGCGAATCGGGGGCGCGGGTGAGGTATAGAAGGTTCTCCGGCTTCAGATCTGTCGCATACGATGATAATCAGTTTCTGCGCACGACAATTCGTAGAATCTTGATGCGAGTCAGGAGCGAACTCACCTCTGTGGACAATGTTCCGCTCGTGCAGGTAATGTACGGCACCGAGCACCTGCCGGATGACTCGAGACGCATCCTTCTCTGTGAACTTTCCATATTCGCAAATGCGATCGAACAACTCCCCACCCGTGGCCAGTTGCGTGACGATGTAGAACTTGTCCTATGGAGCTGTTAGAGGGAGAAGCAACGTCGAAGGGGGGGCGCCGCGTTGACCGACCTTCGATTCAAACCAATCGACAAAGTGGACGATGTTTGGGTGGTTTAGAGCCTGAAGCATCTCCAGCTCATCGTAGACCATGCGCTCGTTGCCTCGGACATTCTTCTTCAGGATGATCTTGATCGCGACTTTCCCCTTGCTGCTATCCGCCTCCCGGACGATACCGTATGTGCCAGCACCGAGCGTTCTTCCGAATTTGTAGTGGGATCTATAGGGAAAGAGCAAAAGCACTTCTTAATGCGCCTGCCACACGAAGAGAGTATTAGGGGGGAAGGGTGGAGAACTGTACTTCTTCTCGTAGCTTTCCGGCTGTCCAGACAGCTTGTTGAGCATATTAGAGACTAAATGAAACCCGCAAAGTTAGCGCATGTTGGTCGAGTCATTTGCTTGCAAGAAAAGCGACAGATCAATGTACATGAGCCACACATTCCCACAGCAAGACAGATGGACGGTATAAGGAAAACGGAGACAACAACAATGCCTCACGAGATTGGCGGACCAAGAAAGCAGATCAGAATGAGGAATCCACCCCAGACCCGGACACTGGGGTCACAGAGAAAGGTGATGGGGAACGAGGTATCCATGGGCGGTTGTGTTGTGAAGTCCAACAGCTCCAAGGCACAAGCAAGATAGGAGATAGGATAAGGAGCAGCGATAGCGCTTCAAGACAAGCGAAGCTATCACGAGGCGTGGACCATGTCTCGTGGGACGAGGGTGGGTGATGAGAACGCAAGCATGAAAGAGGCCGACAACGTACAACTCATCTCGACGGGGGATAAGACCGATGTCCTGGCCTTAGGATCTAAAAGTAAGTGTGCGGTGGGCTCTGACCAGCGAGCGCGCGAAGAATCGATGGGAAACCCCGCACGTGCGAGTAGTAGCGGGGCGGTTCAAACGAGGTCGGAGAAAATCACGGTCGAGGGTCGTGGGAAAGAGATTGAACTAGAGGAGCAGTGAATACGGGTGAGTATATGACCAGATCAGAAGAAATAAACTGCGTCAGGTGTGAAGTAGCAGATCCAGGGGGGGAGAAGACCAGACAAGTTGCGGATGAGCGATAAGGGGGGGGGTAAAGTGTAAAAAAGAGGGTGGAGGAGGGTGTAAACACGGGCGGGTGGCAGCGGTACGGTACCTGAGGCGTGAATCGGCAATGCACGTGCAAGGCAATGCAATGCAGAGTGAGAGTGAGAGAATCAGGCAGAGAACGTCAATAAGAGAGAGGTATAAGGGCCAGCGAGGGGTTTATTTGAAGAGAAAAGTGAGAGTTAGGGAGAGAGACCGTGGAGACGAGAGAGAGGGAGATAGTGGGGAGGAAGTACGAAAGTACAAAGTTCTAGCCCGTGGGTGGTGGAAGCACAGCCACGGCTGAAGTGCTGTCTGTAAGTTACAAGGCTGCCGCATTATTGGAGCTCTCTCCGTACAGGAACTACTACTACGGTACGTAAACTTCCCTTGTTTGCTCCCTCTGCTCTACGCAAGCAATTAAGCTGTTGTCGTATTTGACGTCAACTCCCAACGGAACTGAATCTCAGCCCAATGGATCAAGCCAATCCAGTTCCGTCCTCATGACCACAGGAGGGTAAAAGTAAAATCCACCCGAAATACTATGTGTAGGCAATACCATGTAGCCTTGCAAATCAGGCACCCCGCTTCACCCAAACCCCAAGGCAAGTCGAGTCGCGCACTGAACCTGAAACCGCCAGTCCAGTCCCTGACGCTAAATCAGCCCTGTTGACCTGTTTGATTAATTCTCCAGGCCCCCCTTTCAAGGCTCCCCCCCCCCCCTCTCGCCCAAATTTTGTGCCGCCCACAGATTTTATAGGAATACTGTCCTACTGTCCATAGTAAGACATTTAGAATCCACCAACACCCACAGCAACTGTCACTACGGACGGAATACTCCTATGCCGAACACTCACGCCAAGTCGGCTAGCTAGTTATATTTAGCAATTCGTACTCGTACACTGGGTAAAACCACAGGCAAGCTACTTTTGGCCCCCAAGGGGGACAAAAGACTACTCAAAGCACCGCAAAATCGGATCTATCTCAATCGGAGCTGTAAATGACTATCTCGACTAGACTATCATCGGCCACAAAAAGTCTGTAGTTTGATCGCCCGGAACTGATTGGATCGTGCAGGCTTGGAGCCAATCTGTCAGCTTTGTTTTTCTTATTTTTTTTTTCTGCGCGGAGCCCTATGAAACAACCCTGATACGTCCCACTGGCTTCACGGCCCTATCACTACTAGGGTTGAGGTATCCTCCCACTACAGCTGCGTTTCACTGGGTCGATGCATGGAAGTCTCGAGGAATAAACAAATGATATGCATGAAATGTATCCTGTGTCCACTTATCGACCCCCGACGCATGCAAGGTGAAGGTGCCGTGGCTATCTGGTTGCCCTAATTAATGCTATGTTGCCGACTCGAAAATGACTACGTTCTGGGCACCAACTCGGATAGTTTCTGCATCTGGAGAAAGTATAGACAGGACATCGCCGACTACCCTTACAATTATCACCCCAATGCTAAGTTACCTGTACAAACCTCGCAACCGTGCTATGCATATGCAATCCTCAACGCCAAGCGCAACCCTCAAAGATCGCTAGACCGACACGCCAAAGGCAAACAAACTCACTGCAACTCTTACGCCAATAAATCCATGCAACCAGCAAGAACAATCAATCATTGCACTTCCTTCAGGTATAGCTCTTCCAAGACCCTGGAGCAGTAGGCCCGGTAGTACTCCTCTCCCTTCCACCCTCGCCGCCGAGACTTGGTTCCAACTGTCTGCCACCCTTCACTGCGTAGCCTCTCAATTCGCTGCTCCATGCTCTCTGTGACGAGTACTCGTCCCGAGCTGTTATCCGCAGACTTGGCACGAGATACAGCCAACGAAGAAGAATTTCGAACTCCTTCCTTCACAGGACTGAAGCTCCAGAAAGAAGCTGAGCGTCGGATGCTCTTCGATACACGGCGTGCGTGCTGCATCTCGTTTACTTCCTCTATCATGGCCCGGAGAGTGGTGATGCTTGAGGCGATCTGGGTATTAAGAGAGCGTATACTGCTGTTGTAGTTCGAGATATGGTTGGAGTACTCTGTGGGGTATGGAAGAATTCTCCGCCCTTCTTCTAAGCTAGAAATGGCTTCTGCGAGGTGTGCCCCTTGTCGAGGCTCGGGAGAAGGGGTTCGAACGTGTCGTGGAGCAACTTTGAGGGGGGCCCGGGGAGGTGGACGAGCAAGAGGAATCTTGCTTGTGCCGGCACTGCTGTCTATCGGGCGACTCGTCAAAGCATGTAAATCACTGGTCTCGCTTGCTCTTGGTGCATCATCACAAATGCCGGATATGGTAGAAACAGAAGCCCCGGAAGGTTTTCTGACATTCAAGGGAGATGGAACCAAGTGGCTTTGACTGGCGCTTGTAGCTAGAATCCCTGTGCATAGCTCCTCTTGAAATTGCTTAGCTTCATCATCGCCCTCGTGTGAAACAAACGGATCCTCGTCCACGCTGCCGTAGATAAGAGATCGTTCGATCATATCCGCAAGGCTGCTTGCAAGGCTCGAGGGCCTAGTTCTCGATCCTGGGGAGTCAGAATACGCAGACGAATCCGAGGCGACTGAAGTAAATAAGGCCTCGGACATGTGCGAGTAGCGCTCGGTGGTGGGGACGGGACTCGGCAAGACAGCACTGCAGTTGATGAAACAGTCTAGAGCAGAGTGCAGCAATGGGAGCTTGTTGCGAGAGTAATTGTGAGCGGAAAGGCCTATTGCCTCATAGCAGATGGCGCTGTAGAAGTAGAGGAAAGTCTGGTGAACAGGATGAATCTGGCACGACCGGTGTAAGTACTTGACTCACGCACACCCCAGGCTCGCTCGGGGTATTTATCTCAGATCCGGTCGACTCGCCTCCCAAGAGCTAGATACTTACTGGCTCTGGCGCGGTCATGAGCAGCTCCGAGACGCGCGCAGTGCACTGCTTGTATTGCCGCTGGGCGTAGAGGAGTTTTATGGCACGGAGGGCAACCTGCCATTCTCCAGGTGATTGAGGGTAGATGGAAGGGCTAGATGGAGGAGTCTCGATATTCTTCTCAGCCATGATGGGCGACATCTGAGCCAGACCAGAACAAGGCGGCGAGCTGAGGAGCAGTGGAATTGTTGACTAGAAAGGTGGTTGCGAGGGCATTGTAGTAAACTTTGTATAGATGGGGCAGTCTCCACAATCACGTCTCTGACACGTCTAAGCGGGGCGTTCGTGTCGCTTTGGTGTCTGGCGTATGAGCTAAAGAGCGTGCAGTTATAAGAATAACCTTTGTCCTTTGTTGATGAGGTCATTCATGTGATGGGTAGAAGTTTACCGGTGGATGAGGAAAGGATGAGGATGGGATGACGCCTCACATGCCTGCATTTCCGGCATGCCATGCCTTCCTGATTAGGAAGGGAATGCCAGCCCAATTCACATCCCGAATCTGACAGTGCATGTCGAACGCATGGCTAGCATTCCTGTCACTGACCAGCTCGGTAAGTCTTCAGCCCTCTCAAACTATCTGGTCTTAGATGCCTACTCTCTACGATGCTGCACATACCACTGATCTCAGCGATCGTGTCAGGCTACCTCCTCATACCCTTTTGGTATGCGAGCAATTTAGATCACATCGACAGGTCATGTACAAGCCCACTGACGGATGATCTTATAGGTGTTCTCCTAGCAAAGCAAATGTCATACATTCGATCATCATCAAATTCCCTTCAGCAAAAAAAGAAAAACATCTTCAAATATCAGTGTGATCTACGATCCCCTCCAGCTCCGCACAGATCGCCAACTTCTCCTCACAAGCCTTGCGGATGGCACTGATAGCATCCTTCCCAATGGGCATTCGTAACGGCAATTGCTTGCCCTGCCATCGGCCTGTGCCCTTAACCGCCTCGACAACCACCGCAGCCGCTTTCGCAGGATCGCCCGCCTGATTGTGGTTCGACGCCGCGCAACCAGCCGCCACCAGACGATTCATCTCCACATACTCCGGCAGCTGGCGAGGGGCCCGGTAATGAATATTGCCGGGCGCCATCACCTCCGTGCGGAAGTAGCCGTAGGTCAGGAGCGAGGTCCGGATCCCAAAAGGCGCCAGCTCGAGGGCCAGGTTGGGGACGACAGCCTCCAACAGACCCTTGCCACCCGTGTAGCTCGTAGCCCCCGGCGCACCGTAGTAGACTCCTACAGTGCTAGAGAAGAGCACCGTTCCGGATTGCCGGGCGCGCATCAGAGGAAGAAAGGCGCGGGTCAGGTTGAGGGGGCCCAAGGCATTAGTGCGAAGGGCGTTGATGAGGAACGACTCACTAGAAGAAGTTGTCAAATCTTAGGTCTTTTGAAGCATCATAACAGTTTTAGAGAAGAGGCAGGGCTAACGAGATTTCTTCGAAAATGCCTGCATCGATATATCCTGCGTTGTTGACTAGCACGTCCACTTTGCCAAAGATCCCCCAGATCTCGCGGGCCTTAGTGTCGAGTTCTTCTTGCGAGCTGCTCACATCTAGCTCGAACACGGCAGCGCCAGCGTCGTTCAGAGCCGAGAGGCGGTCTCCACCGCTGACACCGTCGCGCGGGCGGGCAGTCGCAACGACTTGGTCGCCCTTTTCCATGTGACCCATTTGATGAGCATCCGTATAACCTTATCGAGGAAGGGACTTACTCACCTTGTCTAAGATCGCGCGGACCAAGGCCTCACCAATGCCGGAGGAGCAGCCAGTGACCACCCAGGTAAGAGGTTGTGATTGTACACTGGACATTGTATGTATGCAAGACTGAGATATTGCCGGGAGGAGGAGAGTAGAAGAGCAGAGGCGAAGGGAGTGAGGGGAATGGAAAGAACCGAGGAGGTAAGCAGGAAAAGAAATAGGTCGGGCATCATTTATGCAGTCAGCAGTGATAGAGATGGGGAAGTCATCGTACGCTAATCATTTTAGTCTCGCGTAGTGTAAGAACTAGTTAACTAGTGCCGAACATAGCACCGAAGAAAGGCAGCCGATCTTATAAATAGAGAACCCTGCTCACTCGAGCCTATCATTGACAGCAAGCTTGTGCTTCACCTTATGAACGGCCTCTGTGAGGATATTTCGAAACCTCTTCTTAGCATCCGATGGATCCTCTAATATGAGGTCATTCAGCCAGGAGAGGGCGGCGTCAATCAGTTCGGTGTCTAGTTCGACTTTCTTATGCCGGATGTTGTGGAGGTTGTTCGCTGTCAACAGCATTGTAGCAGATATGTAAGGACAGGTTGTTATCCTGTTGTGATTTTAGCAATCACGTATACCTTCCGAAAGAGGTGGGGAGGAGTTGATACCATCGGAACCAACTGTCTCTCGACCAGATTTCTTGGAATAAGAGCACGAAGTCTCGAGCCTCGTTTACAAGTCCTTCCCAGCATGGCGGTATCCGTAGTGGGCTGATGCCCCTACTATAATTGCGGACCCCGGTTATCCATTGCTCGTCCATCGCCTGAGCTCGGTTGATGAGCATCCTGCACTGCAGACCGCTTGAGTGAAGCACGCACAAGAAGCCCAAACTCGCAGGCTTGGTTTTCGCGGTCATGGTGACAACCGCGGCGCCGAATTCGAGCGGGATGGACGCTCGCCATTCATCCAATGCGATGCTAATGCTATCTCGTAGCAATGCCCTTTCCAGAGGGCTCTGCTTTGAGGCTTGCGTCGAGTAGAGATACCTATAGATACGGCCCTCAATGCTGGCAAGCTGAATACGGGCGAAGAGGTAACTCAGCCTTGCTTTCCCATTATCGGTGGCAAGGGTACCAGCAGTGTTGTCATTGTCATCCAGGGACACCGGCAAGGAGGAAGGCAGGTCCACGTCAATATCGTCATCGAGCTGAACGGGTGGTATTTCAGCCCGCAGGCTGAGATCTTTGTCGAGAATGTATGCTATCCAGAAAACGCGAGAGTGTTGTCTTCGGTGAACGAGGTCGAGATGCGCTGATGCAGCACGGTTGTGTAGGCCTAGTTTATGTACAAGACGCATTGTGGCAGATACCAACGTCAAAGCTGGAGTCGGGTCACGCGCCGTCTGGAGCACCATCACCATGCCCAGAAGTGTCTGTACATTCAGTAGGGAAACGTCTCCTGTCATCACTGTTGAGACTACTGATTGTGCGTTGCTGAGATATTCGCTGATGTGCTCAGTCTGACGATGAAAGACACCTTCAATCGTGCTACTGGGCCTATGTTGGCTGGCCAGAGCGAAGACGGTATTGATAGCAGCCCAAACGAGTGGATCGCGTTGTCGCGGGTGGAGGGCATAACACTGCCCAACCATACGCAAGAGCGTGTCGGCATGAAATAGCGGTAGCGCCGTGTTAACTGTATTGAGAAATATTCCAACCATTGCCATAGCCTCTGGCAGTGGAGGGAGCTTTAGCGTGCCAATTGCATGGTTCGGATCCTCGGATGCTTGATCGTCAACCGGTGCTTCTCTTGTGATCTCCTCGAGCCGTTCGGCTTGATGGATTGCCCGATTCGGGGCCTTTGGCCGATATGAGAAATTCTGAGTCGCGCGACGTTGTGCTCTCGGTCTGGCTTTACGGCGCAGAGCAATATGTGTACACTCTGTCGCATAGTTGATGCAGTTGGAGCAACGGGGCTCCTGCCCGTCGCATTTGATCTTGCGAGTATAACATAGGTCGCATGCCTGCTCGAAACTCAGTTAAGCAATACTTCTTGGGCCAGACTACGGAGTTCAGGATTGACCCCGACCTTTCTTGGACGATTATCGGCGTCCATTGTAGCTTGTCAGAATTGACTTCTCGGGAGGCACTTGCACCTCCATGGAGCTGCTTGGTAATTTAAGTATCCTCTTAACTCAGCTGCTTCCGCGGAAGCAGGCAGCCAGCTGACTAATTCTGTGGATTGGTAAGTTAACCCCGACAACAACTTCTTCCCTGCAATGCCATCACTCAGCTCTGGGGGTGTTTTCGTTTTCCAACTTGGTTTCTTTAGTTTCCAATGCGGGGAATTCTCGCTGCGTGGAGCCCGCCGGTATCCCACTGGGTGCATCCCAGCTGAGAAAACAAGTACAAAAGCCTGACGAATACGGCAATCACTATGTATATTCCGGAGTGCATTCCAATTCACATCTATTCATACAGCTAAGACTCCTAGGCCTTCGACTCCCACCAACGTTCATTTTTCATCTTCATATACTGTCGTCAGTGTGTTAGGCAACATTGCGCCCTACAAGAAGATGTCTGTCCCCGACACCTCCCGCATTATAGTGGTCATGGGAGCCACCGGCAATCAAGGAGGGGGTATTGTTCGTGCCTTGCTGGGCTCCAGAACACCGGACGGAGGCCTTTGGCATGTTCGTGGGACCACACGAGATCCCAATTCGACGAAAGCGAGGCAATTCCTGGCCGACCACCAGACCGTCGACCAACGCCTGTCGCTGGTCCCCGGGCACGTCGATGACCAAATGTCCCTCCAAGCCGCCTTTACAGGCGCATACGGCGTATTTGCCATGACATCCGAGACCCAAGCCGGTAGGGTTCTGGACAAAGAGGAAGACCTGAAACACGAGGTGGAGGCAGGACGTCATATCGTCCTGGCAGCGGAGGCTTGTGGTGTCAAGCACTTCGTCTTCAGTAGCTTGCCGGATATGGTCCGCGCCACAGAAGGTCGATTCCCGAATATCCATCACATGAACAACAAGCATGAGGTCGAGAAATTGGCAAAGGAGAGGCTCAGCGCGGTGACTTGTCTCATTCCGGGTGCGTGATTCTGCAGCACAGATTGCTGTGGGGATCCACAGCTGCGCACCTTTTACTGACAATTGATTCGTTGCACAGGGTTCTTTTATACCAATTTGTATTGGCCTCAATACTGTGACCGTCGATGTAAGTTCGACTTGAGATACCTAGGACTCGAAACAATTCCGGATTAATGCGATGATTCCATAGCGGACGGTGTTGTTCAATTTCGCATCCCCATCCCCAGCGGCCAGGTTGCGCAGTGGACCGATCCAATCCATGACATGGGCATATTTGCATCCAGTAAGTCCCTTCCCCAAATCTACATAGCATCGAACTTTATAGATGCCTTGAAGTATGACTGACATGTTAACTTGCTCGGGTAGGGGTGTTCAAGATGGGTGCTGAAAAAACCCGTGACAAGACGTACTTTGTGCTAAGCTCACGAGTCACACCTGTTGAGATGATAGAGACATTTACAAGGGTCACCGGTCAGTCCGCAGTTCATGAGCCGATAACCGCAGAGGAGTTCGGCGAAATGACAGCTCCGTTCGTTGGGCCGGCCTTCAAACGGGATGCCACAGAGATGATGGAATGGGCTGCCATACTGCCAGCGGACAAGATTTGTTACGGTGCCTTCGACGAACATGAGGACCACTCCTTTGAGAAATTAGGATTGAAGGCATCCTCTTTTGAGGAATGGCTCTGCCGTAGTGGCTGGATGGGACCAGCATGATTATCAGAAAGAGGTGTTAATCAACCCAGCATGGCTCGGTTTAACACACAGGCAGGCTTATCAGAATCTGGAATATCGATCAATCCACATTGCATTTCACGGGCCTGAACAATTATTTGATAAGATTAATTCAACCTTGTACTATTAGCCGGACACTGTTCCCAGCCACAATAGCTGATACTCGGCTAGAAGCAGGAATCTAATGTGTTATGATTCAGCCAGGGTCCTCTTACATTGCACCGGGGAGAGAGAGATTCTCAACGATGGGCAAAGAGCTGATCAGCTTGTTACAAGCCTTGAGTAAAAGCTTTCGTTGTAGTCACACGTATTGAAGATAAGATTCTCTTCTTGTTATACTCCTTGCAGAAGCTGTCCCACACATCAATAATCTAGACGGACCATCGGCATACACTTGAACTAATGAGCACCAGACTACCGATCATCATCAGTGGCACTAGCCTTGCCTCTTTTTTAAAGTCTTGTGAATGGATCTTTTAGACGTCATCCAGTGACAAGGTATTGCGCAAAGGTTGTCACTGATGGAAGTCGAGCATTTGCATCTTGTGACATGTGCAAGCCACGATCTCACTCGTCATTTACGATACAAGTGGAAGTGTTCCATCGATAGTGATAGAATCTACATACATTCCAGACACCATACAGTGAAAGAGGAAGGGTGTTAGAGAATATGAGACTGAAAGCTAGTAGGAGTTGCAAAAAAGACAAGATACTCTAGGCTGGTTCTTCCCTGGCCGGCGATATGCTCTCGACACAGCGTATCGCTATTGATACGCCATACCACAATACATAAATCTCCAGGGGCTAACTCGAACCAAAAAGCCTCTCCATCTTTTTTCGATGGTCTTTTCGACAGTTGGTGATATCCTCTAAGTCTACAGTGGCAGATAGTTTGCATTACGTTGTCACGTATAAAGAGTATCCTTGTTTCAACTGGAACAAGCAACAAGGCCAAGACTCAATAGATCACTGCCCATCCAAACATGGAGCAAACCACACGAAAAGATATATAACAAAAGAGCAACTACCTAACATGACAGCTCTTGCATGCGTGACGGATACATGACCTCTCCCGATGAGAAAAATACTCTGCATCCGAGTTCATACGATACCCAAGTCCCAAGACTCCAAATCAGACAAAACAAAGTCCACAATCAGACCTCCTCCGCATCCCGCTTCATGCCCTCCTGGATCCAGGCCCCAGCAGCGCGACCCTTCGCATTCAACTCCTCATCCGAGAGCTTATTAAGCTCCAGATAGATATGCGGCCCGGGGGCATTCCGACCCTCCTCAAAAGCGGGCCGCTTCAACAATTCGAAAAGCCATTTCTGCACATGCGGAAACTCGTCAATGCTGGAGAGGCCACTATATTCTGCGCGTATCTGTCAGTGCCCTGTAGGTTTTGGAAGGGGGAGTGCGCCCACGTACTGTAAGCAGCCACCCAATTCCACAAGGCGATATCCGCCACCGTGACCCGGTCACCAACCACGTAGCCGGATTTACTTTTGGCCAGATGGCCGTCCAGGACGCGGTACAAGCGGCGGGTTTCGTTCACGTAGCGGCTGATGGCGTACTCATGCTTCTCGGGGGCCATTCCTGCACAACCGATGAAAGTTAGAGCATATCCTACAATCCAATGCAAGCCTTGTCTTGTCTTACTCGCAAAATGGTTGGCTTGCCCTTGCATCGGGCCCACCCCTCCCATCTGCCACATCAGCTGTGAGTTTGTCAGTTTACATAACAATAAAACCCGTTGTGGCGGCGGAACGCTGGAATTGCACTACTGACCCAATTAACGGTCTCCCAGTACTCGGGAGAGTCATAGGGATATGACACCTTGTGGTCCTTGTCGTACCGGGCCACAAGATACAGCAGCATGCTGCCGCTCTCGAACAGCGTAACCTTGTTGCCGTTTTCGTCTTCATCGACTAAGGCAGGAATCCGACCATTGGGATTGATCTCGAGAAACCATGGCTCTTTTTGTTCGTGCTTGGGGATGTTGATTGGGTGAAGCTTTACGCTGGTCAGCTCACATTGTCTCTTGAGGTTGGGCGTTAATGGCTTCAGGTTGTGGGACACTGTACCTTGTACTCCAAGCCCAGCTCAGCTAGTAGAATGGTGGGTTTGAGGCCGTTGGGAGTGCCCTCGGTATAGAGGGTGATGTCGGTCTTGATTCCCATCTTCCAGCGCTGACTCTGACAATGAGATGTTCACGTGGTGATAGGGGCGATTCAGGATGCGACTGAATGTAAAGCGCAATCGTGAGCTCGCGGCGGATGAGGAGAAGACCAATGTTTGAGATGGCAGGGAAGAAAGGCTCGAAGACCCCCATGACGCATATTTATAAGTCCAAAAGGCCTTCTTGTTGTTTACCTGCTCCGCAATTCTCGTCGGTAATTTTCTGGTCTGATGACTATTCCAGGGATGCTGACACATTTCGGCTTCCGAACTCAATCTCCCTTTGTGATTGTTAAGCCCGCGATTGCGATATCTCATCAGTGAGGAAACCGACTTGACTTATGGGCAAGATGCAAGGCCAAAGCCAAGAGTGCTATATCTAAACAATGGTCGTGTGTGTAAGCAAAGCGGCTTTTTGTCAGCGGAAGTTCCGTCGGAACCACAGCCCTAATTCCACGGAAATGACATGAGATTCAACTACCATTGCAACTGCACAGCCGGCTTGGCTTCCTGCCAGGGCTGTTGAGAAAGGTATCCCCGCAGAATTCTACATTGTGACTATTGAGGCATCAAAACCTTTGACTTTCGAGGTAAGAATCCCCGGCCGGGGTCGATCATCCTACCAAGTTCCGTTGACTTCCCAGAGCCCCGGGCCCGGGCCCGCCGCCGCCGACTGTGATGGTGGGGCAGGTGTTGCGCACGAGCATCCGGATATGGTGGGCAGTAGTGAAGGCGATTGTCTCCTGGACGTAGCCGCGGATCGCACGCGCACGGCGTCCTGCACGTACGTGCCGACAATGCAGCGGGATGACGGGCTGAGAATCGGGTCGCAGCTCTGGTTGGCGTAGAATCCCGCCATCACCGACGAAGAGCTCTCGTAGTGCGTGTGCGGGAACTCCCAGTTCGCGCGGAGAGCCTCACAGGCTGAGGCGTTGTAGGCGGCGAGGGGCCCTTCACCGTGGCACACGTTGCCGATCGGGACATGACAGTGGCAATCAGACCGCCACCCACGGTTTGATTAAACGCCCTCCACTGAGAGGCCCTGGGCCAGCATGGTTCGCCAGGGAAACAGTAACAGTCCGGCTTCTTGTTGGGGGTGGGATGTCCCTGGGACAGATGAACCACTTCGATCAAGTAGAGGAAGAAAAGGTACCAATTGGGCCCTGCTACTGCTCCTGACAACAAGCAATCTCAACAAGGACTTACATACCGTCTTACTGCCAAGCCAGACAGCCTCTCTGCTGAGATCGGGATCCTACACTCTCACTATCAATACCAGCAGGGAATAGGATTTCACGTATGAATTGCATGCTCTCTATAGGTACAGGAACAGGCACCGCAACTGCAAAATGCAAGATCATTCTTTCGTGAAAATCATGAGTTTCCACCATTCTCAGTCCGTCGCGTCGCGTCAAATCCATGCATGAGCCAGCATACTTGGATTTTCGGCATACGGTTCCAAAAAGAACGGGTTTTCTCCAATGCACCATCTGTTAATTTTATTCTTCTAACTTCAAAGTAAGGAATGAAATAAATGGAAAACGATTCGATATTGGTTTTGCGGGGTTGTGTTTGGCTGTGTTTCGAGGTCCCCTTCTGGATGATGTCCCTCACTCAGAATGTTCCGGGGTAGAGACCATGTCGGAATTGACTTCGGCCTCGGGTCCCACCGTGGTCTGGGAGATTGCGCGTCCGGTGGCGTTGAGAGCAAGCAGGAAGCCGTCGAGCATTCGGTCCAGTTCCTCTTTGATGGCGTGGTCACCGACACCCTCCGTCAGGGCATCAAGGCGGGGAAGAGGAACGTCCGGGAAACGAACGGGCTCGGTGTCTTCGGTGGACAGGATGGGAAGGTTGCGTCTGGCGGTGGGAAGAGGCTCGGAAGTGGGGGAGTCGGTGGTAGAGGGGAAGGGGGCCAGCTCGAGGTCTTTGACAGGGATGGCGGTGGGGAATGGCTCGGAGTGCGCGTGGTGTTGCTCGGAACTGTTGTGCCAGGCAGAAGTCGATTCTTCTTCTTCATCAGGCCCAGGTCCATCAAGGACATTCGTTTCTTCATCTTCGTCAAATGACATTGTAGGGAAGTCCGACTCGTCAAAAGTCTTGGGCTCAGCAGCCGCTGGCACGCTAGGCGGGGTGGAGGGACGGTCGAAGCGGAATGGATCATAATCCGTTTCGGAGCTCGCAGACACATTGGAATCAATGGATCGCGAGGTGGAAGGCCGGGAATCACCAGGCTCGCCGATGCTCGAGCGTCGAATGGTGTCCGAGGTCTGCAGACTCATGATCGGCGCTTTCAGAGTGTTGTTGCGACTCACGTCGGCATCGCTTTCGTGGCCCGTGGATTCATTGTCGGCTGGAGCAGTCATCACTGGGAATGTCCACTCCATTGTAGCGCGCTTCTCTGAGATGTCTAGCTCAGCTGGCTTTGGCGCCTGCGCGGGCTCGGGCTCGGGCTCGGGCTCTGGCTCCTCTTCAGTTGCAGGCTGCATGAAGACAGGGAACTTCCAATCCATGGTCGGAGGTCGTGGGCCGGTTGATGGCTGGAATGGCACATCGTCAGCGTCACGAGTGCTGCTAACGCCGCTACTCGAAGATCGAGAGCGACCGTCGATGGAGTTGCGCTGTTGACGACCGCTGGATCTGTTGGCGCGAATAGTATCGGCGTCTGCGAGCTGAAAGGGCTGCGCAGATGACGCTCCAGCCGCATAATGCGACGAGTCAAAGGATCCGATGTCGATGTCGATGAAGGTAGAGGTGACGGAAGAGCGATCGGTGTCTGTGCGCAGGGGGAGGTCGGATGCGGGGGCTTTAGGTTCAATAGGGACGAAGTCGTTCTTTGTTTCGTAAGTGTAGCTTGGCTTTTCTTCATTGAAAAGGCCTTCCATCGCTTCAGCACCTCGACGAACCCGCTCATCGAAGTTCGCCTTATCCTCAACTGTCATTTCCTGATCGGTCGTTTCATCAGGGATGTCTGGCATGGATTGAGATTTTGTGGTCGGGCTTATTTCTGCCTCCAATTCAGCGATAGAGGCCGCCAGCTGATCGAGGTCTATGACAGAGAAGCGACGCTCAAAGCCATCAGTTGTACTGAAATTCCAGTCCTCGTCACTAGGCTCGGTATCTGGCATCTCGGCAGCCGCGGCACCGCCAGGATGGAACAGGGAGATGCGTTGTCCACCCCGCTGAGACCACTGATAGTACATGCGGACAAGCTCACCCAGGGACGAAGTAGGGTGGCTTTCCTCGGTATCAGCAATGAAGGAATGGTTTAGAATGTCTGCCATCGCAGGTCGAGAGACGGGGTTCGATTCCAGGGCAAAGGACACGAGACTCTTCAGGCCGTCGCTATATTTCGAGTTGTCTAGTTTGGGGGTGCTGCGGTTCAGTTGTCTCCCGATCTGCATGCGTTCTCGGAGGTTCGAATTAGGAGGATTGCCCGTAGCAATCTCAAAAATCGTGCATCCGTACGCCCATACATCGATCTAGACCGGTCAACAACGATACTGTCTATGCGGAACACGTGTCACTTACCTCACTTCCGTACTGATGAGCTTCGCCGCGGGTCGAAAACATCTCGGGTGGCATCCAGTGAGGGGTTCCGATCCAGGTCGAGCGTTTGTCCAGCTGAGACTGAAGGACGCCGGCAACACCGAAGTCGCAGATCTGGAGTTTTCCTTCTTCGTGAATCAGGACGTTTGCGGCTAGAAAAAGAATGTTAGTGGTGTGCGCGAAACAAAGGGTTTAGTCCAAATGATCTCATACCTTTGATGTCTCGATGGATGATACCCGCATTGTGGATGGCACGGAGGCCAGCAGCCAGTTCTCGTGCAATAGGGATAATGAATTTTTCTTCCAGGCGGTCGTTAGTGGCTCGCATCTAAGTGGAAAATCGTCAGTGATCAGTTGGCATACAATGCTAGGATATATGAAAAAGAGACGAGACGAAGGGGTGATGGCAGAGCTTCAGACCGAGTACGGAGTGATGAAAACCTACCAGGGTTCTAACACTGCCACCAGGGCAATATTCGCAAACCAGCCACAGCTGCGAGTGAATGGAGATCGCCTCGATGAGTTCGTTAATGTTCTTCGCGCCAGAGTCTTTGACCTGCTTCATCACTTTCGCCTCACGGATGAAATCGTTGATTGATTCGTCTCGAAAGTCCCGCAGAGATTTGTAGTCGATGGAGTCGATGTCCAAAACCTTGATCGCGACGAGCTTGCGGGAGGGAAGCTGGTGACCTTTGTAAACTCGACCATATGAACCTTTGCCGATCAACTCTTCAAACTCGTAAGCAGGAACATCAGATTTCGCTCTGCGGCACATCTCTTGGACTGCAGAGCTCTGCTCGCGAGCGAGCTTTATAGCTTCAGCTTTGTGCTTGGTAATAGCCGCCATGGCGGGGTCGAGGAGACGAGAAACACGCGGTGGATCCATCTTGTCGAGGGGTGAATGGGGCGCGGGAGTGTCGTTTTTATTCTTTGGGGTGATTCGGAGCGGTGCTGGGGCAAGAAACTCGTCGAATGAAGATGCGTCACCAGATGTGTCAAGTCTGCTCTCTGAGATAGGGTGCGGAGTAGAAGTAGAATGAGGGGTTTTCGGCGGAGTGGAAGTAGATCGAGAGACTGAATTTGACAAGATGGAGGTGAGCAAGATAATGTGATCAGACGACGGACTCCTTGGTGGTGTTGGAGCACATTCGACGAGTGCCTGAGGTTTCGGGCAGGGTGGGTCTCCTGCTGGCCTAACAATCTCAGGACCAAGCCAGCACCGAATCGCAGGCCCACCGCTAGAGTCACGGGAATGCGATTTACTTGGTGTCTGACTTGTGCTTCCGGGTGTGCTTTGCCCGGAGAAGAGTGGATTATTGGACAACAAGTACTCTTCTGCCGACGTCAAATGCTCTTCTTCGATAGTGACACCGTCGCCTTGGCTTTTCCTCGAATGGATATGGAAAAACTTCCTGAGAGATGGTCGCTTAGGGGTACTGTCTTCGGGAGGATAATCGTCTGCGGGCTGTGATTCCTGGTTGGAGGTTGCCTGCGCTTCTTGAATACGTAATTTGGCGTCTCCAAGTGCAAGGCGCTCGATGAGTGGAAGTTTCTTGGGGTCTTTTGTTCCCCTATCCTTCCGTTTATCCTTCCGTGAGATGCCGGTCTGCTCTCCAGAGCTGGACTTCCGATGGCTGCGAGTCCCTGTACTTCCAGACCCTGTCGAACTCTTCGAGGCCTTTGAGTCTTTCGAACCTTTTTGTTTTTTGTGCAACCACTTAAAACGCCTCGAGGCTTTCTGTTCCTCGTCTTCGGTGGGCGGATCTAGTGGCGGAGTCTGGTTGACCGCGTAAGGTTTTGGGTCCCTGGTCCCGTTATGTTAGTATTGAAGTCTAGCTATGATCAAATAGTCGATAGCGACTGAACGTACTTTTCACCCTCTGAGTCTGAACTGGACTCGCTAAGCAGAACTGCAATCTCATTAGTTTACCATTAGGATGGTTTGCGATGGAATACTGACAGCTAGTCTCAGATTCTGGGTTCTCCCCTGCGTTCTTGTCCTGGCTTTCGTGCCTTGCCTGATATCGTCCAACAGGAGGCTGCTGAACCTCTGTTGGAAGTTCTAGCGCGAGATCGGGCGACGCTCTATCGATAGGCAGAGAGTGTTAGCACGCTTTCAACGAGATGATGAACGATGACTGCAAACCCGTAAATGCCTCTACGTTGCTCTGAGAACCTGGACCCAGCCATGGTCAACCCACGATGCCGGTAGATGAAGGATGGAGGGCTTGGTTCAAGAGAACAGAGAAGCAGAACGGACAGGTAGGGGAGGATGGATTCATCAAGTGATGAAGATGAACGATGATGATTCCAAAGAATGGTGTTGACATATGGAGAGGAAGCAGGCTCGTAGGAAGTCGAGCCAGGAGAGGTATAAAATCCATCCTGGCAGTCACACACCTTGTAGGTTAGTCAATTGACTGGTCCAAAGGCAGTTGTATCGCCTGTCGGTGGTGTATGTGCCCAGTCGTCAACTCTCCAACACCAGCACGACGAACTCTTTTGATGTAGCGACGCGAATTCGAGCTCCACGCCCAAATCTCAGCCGATTTGGTCGGCAAAAAGAACGTATACTATGTTCATGTTAGTCTCTATCCATATTTATACTTCAAATTGCAATTGAGGGTTGACAGAATGGTCTGTAAACATGTAGATACTTACCGTCGTCGATATTCCTTATGTGTTGATATATGCCTGTATATCAGCGTCTGCCACGCGTACTATGTGAAGACGGGAGCGCTAGTCCCAAAGACGTTAGCGTGTATTCAAAACGAGAAAGTCCGCTCCGGCCTGGATGTCAACAGTGAATAAATGCACTGGAACAACAGCCTGCTGATCGATATCCCCAGCTTTCGCCGGTAAGGTGCTGGATAGAAACAGGTAGAAAGTTCGAGTAGATTCGATTATATCAAACCAAGAATCACCGAGAGTTGATAGTAGGTAGGAAGCAAGGGCCGCTCAAAGCACAACTTACGGGTTCGTGTTGAATTGGCACACCGTACAGTGATATGCTGATCTATAGCCGGTTAGTTCTGCATTCAATACATACGGCATAAGAAGCAACACATCGCGATCATCCTGCAACTGACGATGAGCTATAGATTATTCATCTATGATAAAGTAACCTTACAGACTCAAATCCCAGCTGAGGAGCTTGCTAGCATGGGGTTGTATAGTGTCACGTGATGAATATGAACGCAGCAATAACAGGGCGCTTGAATTGTGCTTGACCTGGGTCAAGGAAATCCCGACACGACAGACCGAATAGAACGTATAGAGTATATGCTCTCCCACAGGAGGCTCGAGGTAGAACTTACCAACATGTAGTTCCTTAGCAAACCAATCCAGCTGGCTAACAAAGGGGCAAGGATACAACGAGTCCAAGATTAAGCCTAAAGACGACAGGAAAACAGGCGATGAAAGGAAAACACTAGGGGTATCAAAGCTGTAAGACTCAGGCTAGGATTATAAATCGCCAAAGTAGCTCGCCATTATCTCACCATGGACCGGATTTCCGACATGTAACGCGTTATCAGGGTTGAGCAACGTCCGATTAAAGTTCCTAATCAATCGTTCTACTTGTGGATCAGGGGCGGAAAAATGTTTTTACGCGGCTATGCTTCTTGCTCGGGCTACGAATTTAGATCTAGACCGACCACATCGTGCTGCAGTAAGCACATGCAAATAATAGTCATGAAGTGATGGTAAATTGCATTTAAAGTGTCTGTCTAGCTCTAACTTTGAGATTATTAGGAAGCCAAGGTCGTAAAGAATGGCACGTCAAGTGCCCAGAGCACCCGAGTACCTTCCCCGGTCGCTTACATGCTGAACCTCTTTTCATATGTACTTATCCAACTAGGGTATCAAAAAGAAGTTACGCGTCTATAGACCAAATTGCACCCGTAGGGCGTTGCCGAAACGTCGGATGGCTTCATCAATGTTCTCAAAACTGGCGGCAGCGAAGGTTGCACGGAAGAACATTTTACCCCCGCCAACTTCAGTGGCCGTGAACCAGCTACCCCTGGAGACAAGGACCTCGTTGTCAACAGCAGCGAGAAAGATCTCTTCTTCAATCTGGTTACGGGTCTTGCCTGCTGCGAGGCCGGGATGCTTTTGCCAATCAATACCAATCCAGTGCTAGAATACTAGTCAGTTTAAAATCCACTCGTAGGATATCTGAGAACTTACAAACATGCCCGCTGCGGGTGCGACCCAGCTAGCAATTTCCTGTGGGAGGTGCTTCTCACAAGCAACCACCAAGGCATCCCTACGACCGGTATATTGCATACGAAGATTGATCAGCCAGTCAAGGTACCCAGCATGGCCCCAATGCTCGTCCAGAAGCTTGAAGAGGAGAATCTGCGAGATACCGCTCGGGTTCTGGGCAGTAGTCTCACTGTGACGAATATAGCGCTCAATGAACTGCTCTGGAGCAACCAGCCATCCGGCACGCGAGCCAGGAGTAAGGACCTTGGAGAAGGATTCGATCCGGCAAACGCGGCCGTCCGTGTCCAAGCTCAGATATGAAGGGACAAGCGACTTGATGAACTCGGCATGATTGGCCGGGGGCGGTGCGGGCGTGCCGTCGGCGCCGGTATAAGGCTGCATCTGCAGGAAGTAGTATGGCTCGTCTTCCACAATGAAGATGTCATGCTTCTGAGCGACCTCGTACACAGCCTTACGTCGGTCAGCCCATTGGGTTGCACCTGTGGGGTTTTGTCCCGTCGGGATAGTATAGAGTACGCGAGGCTTGCGGCCACCGCGAGTCGCCTCATCCCAGTTGCTGAGAGTCTCGTCAAGTGCCTCGGGCAGAAGACCCTGTTCGTCCATCTTGATCCCGACTACCTTGAGGCCGAGAGGAAGCGCAGTTTCCTTGGCACTCGAGAAAGTGTATTCTTCCATCATGATGTAGTCGCCTCTGTTGCACAGAATGCGAAGGATAGCATCCCAGGCGAAGGTACCGCCAGGCGTCAGACAGCATTGCCAATCGGAGTAAGGGGGGTTGTGGATTAGCTAGTCGCCAAGGATCAGTCGTTAACCAAGCTTCTTGCAGTGTGGTTGGCCTGTCAGCGACATACCTCTGTGTGTTCCGTGACGAACCGCAGCAATTGCGGGGATCCCGTGGCCTGGCCGTAGTTAAGCGCAACTTCCAAGTCTGTTGAAAACAGTCTCAGCCGTTGAATAAGCTTCTCGAGAGGAAAGTGGTCGTTCAACACTCACCGTATAAACTTGTTCCGTCACGCGTGTCTCCCTTCTTTGCAGTCAAAAGGGCGCCGAATTTGTTGCGTTCTTCGGGAGAGAAGCCAGGAGGGGTCGGAACCTTCACGGAGAGTTCATCGAAGGGAAAATATTCCGGAGAGGGGAGCCCGCCGCCAAGGGAGATCAGGCCTGGGTTCTTGAGATACTGCGCCGCACCCTTCAATGTTGAGGTCTAAAGACATTCAACGAGTACATATTAGCTTTCGAAACGAGCAACCAGGCCAGCGGAGTTTGACGGACGAACCTTCCGAGCCTTTGCCTCGATGGAGAAAATATCTGGGAACAAATCAGGATTCAGTCCTAGCAACATAGTGGCGGGTACTAACCATCCCAGCGTTTGGCCTGTGGCTTGGTGTAGCAGTGCTGATAAGGGGTTAGTTTCGTGCGCCATCAACATAACCCAGAGACGGACGTACTGGGCTCTTGAAAAGGTCGCTATGGGTCGCAGGCGCAACACCCAAGGGAATCTTTGCGCTCTTCGCTCTGAGTGCCGGGATGGCGTCGACTGTCAATGGTCCGGCAGCGGAAGCCGAGCCCGAGTCAACGGCCGCGGGGCTCATGGTCGAATTAGTAGCTGGAAAGGATAGACTGTAAGTGATTTGTACTGTTGTAAGTTTCGCACTTTGTGTCAAAAAAGTGCAGAAAGAATAGAGTGAAGGGAAAGAGATGTTGCAACACCGGAAGATGAGTGGGAAAGAAGAGAGAATAAAGGGAAGGAAAGGAAATCGAGTCACACTCCGACGACTGCCCGTCCGCTTTTTGCTCCGCTTTAGAAAAGCTCGGGCGGACCGGTTCCGCCGGCAAGCGTCGCGCACTGCAACGGCGATTTGTCCACGATAGCAATCTGCACTGCAGGACTAGATACAGCAGCTTCCCCTGGCAATTGTGATTGGCAAGTGAGTGTGATATCTGAGGAGCAAGTGGATCGATTGCATTGACTCTGGGAGGCATGGTAAAATCATTCTATCGAATTGCGAATGCTGTCATCGGTAAGGCGTGGCGGGGTATTATTGTATGTACTGTATGTAATCCAAATACCACGCTGCATACTCCGTACATGATCGAGTTATTTCCGACAGAGACGGATTTGATGCTTTTCCCCGCATCTGCAGAAACCTGGGGTAAACACGAATCATTGCATCATCTGCGATCCCTTCAACAGAACCCTGCGAATCTGGATCTCCAAGCAGGGATCTCCCAAGGGTAGAGCATGACGACAATTGGAGGGGGAATTTGAGAAGCGGTAATGGTGCATATCGGCGGTATGACAGCCCCACGCCTAGATAAGGCTATCGCCGGCATCGGAGCCAGGCTTATCGGAGATCCGATCAGCCATGGTTCCTTACACCCAAAGATGTCAGTGCAGTGCCGTGCCCATGGTATCATATTGCTGCCAAATGAGTCAAATGAGGAACTATAACCGAAAACCTTCCATGCGCAGTACCCGTGTTGCGCAAATATGACAATATGATCTAATTTGTCATAGAAAACTTCGTGCATGCCTAGGCTGCATGAAAGGGGGCTCAGGATATGGATGAGCAATGTGCGATATTGGAGTGATCGAAGCTGGAGACATTTTATGAGGATCCAGCGGACTATAGGGTTAGAGGCAGAGGGAGAGTGCATGACCTGGAAGAATATGATCAAGGGCGGTTGGTACAAGTGAATTGGAATGGGAGTGGCAGAAGACAGCACATTAGATACCTGCTCAACCAGAACGATCAAGGCCCTCTTTACCCTCGGGTCCTTCAGGCCCATATCAAACACCTTAATAAGCAGCTCCTTTTATAACTATAAGGCAAAGCACTGTTTTCCGAGCAAATATTCAATCTCAGATCAATTTAGATCCGCAGCCTAATTCTAGCTTAGGGCCCTTTTATTACCTTCAGTATCCAGACCAGGACAACGACAAATTAGCATCGAGCTGGGAGCCGGTTGTAGTACAACAAAAATATTTAGAATATCAATACGCTCATTAGCCAGATCATCTGAAACCAAAACTATATACAGTGTTGTATTTTCAATTATGTCTAATCTTTTCAAAAAGTCCTAATTAATGTCTTGATTCTTGTAGAGATGTGGCCAAGCACGATACCCGCGTATTAGTTGAGAACATATGTCGCCTGAAAGGTGCGCTTTTAGCATTCTGAAATGATATCAATTGGGAAGATATTTTATGCTAATGCGCCAAACAACAATCCCGGACGCAGTATTAATAAACGGCATTAGGTTCTCAACTAATAAACGGCATAAGTTCAATGTTCCGTGCGGGGCGTGCGGAGACTATCCATGGCTAACTTCCCCTCCTTCAACCCTAGAAATTCCCCTCTCACACGAAAGCCACATCAGTCAACTCAGCATAAGACAAGCATCACATCGCGCTCACCATCACATGCATTCTTCACCTCAATGCTCATCCAACTTCTCAAAGATGAAGTAAAGTTCTACCCCGCAAGACGAAAGGCCTGGGAAGACTCGACCGAAAGTCGACATTGAATCTGGAACCATCAGACCCTCTCTTTCCAGGCCAGAAGCTCAACTCGGAGCTCTTCGAGCCGCAATGCTGAGAATGGAATCGAGGGCCGGCCTTTTTCGTCATGGGCCATCATGTCAAATCTACCATGGTTAAATCCCCAAATCGATCTATATAATGACCCTTGAAGCATGCAGAGACTCGAGAACTCAAGACATCAGTGTCTCTCGAAGTCATCGACGTTTCCAACTTTGTTCAATATCCCCACAACGCAGAATACCAGCATTCTGTCCTTCATCAATTTCCTCCGCAAGTCCTCCAAGCCTCCCACCAAAATGCGCGGAAAGGTCACCATCGAGGAAGCCTTCGAGATCCCCTCCGAGGCGGATCAGAGTCGCGACCAGGCGGCGATCTACGTGGCGCCGGACGACCTGGAGCGGTACCTGCGGCAGATCAAGTCGATCACGGGCGAGCGGCTCAAGATCTCGGAGGACAACGGGATCGGCTACACAGTGCTGTCGCTGACGGTGCCGGGGATCCAGGGGATCCGGGAGCGGGAGAAGGCGGAGTCGCACGCGCGCGAGGTCAACAACTACATTGCGGACAAGATCAAGGACCACCGCGACCGGCTGGGCGCGTTCGCGGCGCTGTCGATGCACGACCCGGCGCAGGCGGGCAAGGAGCTGCGGCGCTGCGTCAAGGAGCTGGGCTTCCACGGCGCCCTGCTGAACGACGTGCAGCACACCAACCAGCGCGGCCGCTGCCTGTACTACGACCAGCCGGAGTACGACGAATTCTGGCGCGTGGCCGTCGAGCTCGACGTGCCCATCTACCTGCACCCGGCCGCGCCCACCAGCGACAACTACAAGGAGCACTACGAGAACCGCAAGTACCTGGTCGGCCCGCCGCAGAGCTTCTGCAACGCCGTCGGCCGCCACGTCATGGGCCTCATCACCAACGGCGTCTTCGACCGCTTCCCCAACCTCAAGCTGATCCTCGGCCACCTCGGCGAGCGCATCCCCTTCGACTTCTGGCGCGCCAACCACTGGATCAACGACGTCGAGCGGCCCCTCGCCAAGAAGAACGGCGACCCCATGTGCGAGCGCGACGTCCTGCACTACTTCAAGAACAACATCTACGTCACCACCAGCGGCCACTTCAGCACTAACACCTTGCGCTTCGTGGCCGAGGAGATCGGCGTCGACCGCATCATGTTCAGCGTCGACTACCCCTACGAGCGGCTGGAGAACGGCTGCGGCTGGTTCGACAACAACTCCGACGAGCTCAAGAAGATCCTCGGCGGCCGCGATGGCTACCTGCGTGTCGGCAGGGACAACGCCAAGAACGTGCTCAAGCTCTCCAAGTTCAAGGACTCCGACGCTCCCGTCTGAGCTTGTTTGATGGATCATCAACTGATTTTGACTGTCTGTGTCGTTGTTTTGCTGGATTTTTCCTTCTGGGTCTTGGCTTCTTTTCGTGTGTCTTCATCGTTTCGTTGGTTAATCTTAGGCTGAAAATGCGCGCGGAACATGCGCTGAAACAGGGGTGGGGGCGGGTTTGCTGAGACTGTGAACACTCCTTACTTAGGTTACTCATCTAGTAGGAATAATGCATTGTTTGATTGCTTGCTTGAACCATGTGGGAATATCGTGGCAGATGTTAGGGTAGCACAAGCGAACTTGACACCTACTTTTTGGAAGTTAGGGTTAACCTTTCGCAAATAATAGGGGAATATGGGAATTGGTAGTCAGCGCTCTAGCGCGCGTCTGATCCTCTCAAGGCGACACCCAAATACCCGATCAAAGTCAGAAGCATTGGAAATACCCGCATGTTTTACGAACTAAGCACGAGGGCGCAATCTGACGATGTCTAAAATATCTTGATTCATCGAATTTCTTTGCTTTGATGTAAACGCTCCATGTATGACATCCTTGCGAACGTACGATTCCAAGATTCAGGAGCTTAAAGTCTCGGCTTCGCAACGTACTTGCCCTCCGTCCCATCCAGCTGCGCTTCCAACACAGCCGTGGTGCCATGCTGTACACTCTTGATGGCCTCAGGCAGCAAGCGGCGGAGCTCCGCAACCGTGGACGCCTGAGCCGCCCAGAACTCACCACCTGAGGCTGCTTTCGCGATTCCGGGGTAGTCCGGAGTGGGCGCGAAGGAGATGTTGAGGTCCTCGTTGGTGGCCCGGGAGCCGTCGCCGTTGGGGTGCACCAACAGCATACTCCTCCGCGGGGCATTCCAGCCCTTGTTGTTCAAGACAATCGTTAAGATGGGGATGTTGTACCGGCGCGACACCCAGTACACGGAGCCAGGCACCGAGAAGAGGTACGTGCCGTCGCCCACGATCTGACAGACAAACTTGCCCTTGTTATTGCCTCCGTGCTCGAGATCGGTCGCGAGCTTGATGCCCAAAGCACCGCCACCAGACCAACCCAGACCGCCGCCGCCGCAGTTGATCCATGATTTGGGAACAGTTGCCGCGATTTGATCGGAAACGATACCAGTCAGCGTCACGGACTCGATCGCCCAGATGGTGTCAGCAGGACAGCCTCCCCGGAGCTGGGAGATGAGATACGACGCGTTCAATGGCGCCCGGTCCCCGCCTGCTGGGGCCACGGCCATATCGACGATTGCCTTGCGCGTCTTTCGGAATTCTTGTTCACGGCGTTCGCCCCGTGCCTGGTTCTCTGCTGTGTTGATAGATTGCTGTAGCTGATGATTGGATGCAATGTAATCGTTGATCTGCTTGAATGCTGTCGCAGATTCCGCCCGGTATGTTGCGCTCGAGTTGATGTAGTGCACAGGTATCTGCTGCTTGAGAGGATCCACGTCGACGTGGACAATTTTGGCGGTGTCGGAAGGCTTGCAAATGGTAGGGATCCATGGTACGTCACAGTCGGCGACAAGAATGAAATCTGCTGTTTTTATCGTATCATGGATCCCAAACCGCATTCCTAAAGACGCTGGATGGTCACCTGGGAAGCACATGTCGCAGCCTCCAGTATCTAGAACGCGAAGGCCCTTGAATGTGTCGGCTAGAGTGATCAACTCCTTCACTGCCTGGGGGTTGCGGCCCGAGTATCCTACGATGGCCAAGGGCTCTTTGGCTCCCGCAAGCTCAGTTGCAATCAACTCCACTCCTTCCGATGGTAGTGCTGGTGGAGCAACCCGTACCCACTGGCTTTGGTTGATAGAGTACGGGGTGATCTCCTCCTCCATAACTTCTCGAGCACCGGCCAGGTAGACAGGACCCTGAGGGTCGCTTGTGGCGAATTGTAAAGCTCGATTTACCATCTGCTTGATGTTCTTGCCCGACCGGATCTCTCCAGCATAACGACAGTACTGAGAGACGATTTGCTTCTGGTCCGGAACATCTTGGATCCAGTGGATGTATTCGGTGCGAGAACCCCGCATCTCACCCTCAATTGTATAGGGAGAAAGACCGGCAAAGATCAGAACCGGAGCACGACCACAGGAAGCATTGTGAATAGCTGCAGCGAGACCTTGCGTGCCCACGTCGACGTGAACGATCACACATTGAGGCTTCCCAGTAAGACGCGCATAGCCATCGGCCATGGAGAGAGCCACCATCTGCCAAGAACGAAGGATTGCGGGGTTAGTGCGGAGGTGCTTGAAGTCGATGGCCTGGTGATAAGGAAGCGACTCACCTCATTGGGACATGTTACAATCTTAGGAAACTCCTTGGGCTTTTCTTTTTGGCCTTTGACCATGGCTTCCAGGATTGAGGGATGATCAGAACCCAGATTTACGAAGACATGAGTGACGCCAGCCTGTCAAGTCAGCTCATGCTGTGAGACATGTGGTCGTCGGGGTCTGAGTTGGCATACCTCCCACAGAGCCTCGAAGAAGGCAAAAGATGCTGTGTAGACCCTGGTAGATTCGTCAGTGATTTCCCGCCTGGATATTCAAGCATGGATTACACCTACATGGTGATGGCTTCAATCAAGATCAGGGCTTCAGGATTTGATATGGATGAGAACGAGCGGGAAAAGTGGGAGATGAGGGGGATGGTGCAGAGAAGAACGCATTTTGACTGATTGATAAAGTAAGGGCTCGGGTTGAAGTCCGAGCAGTGGATCTCAAGCCGAGGTTAAGATGGGACGATGGCTGGTGGATTGTGAGGGGAAAATGGGGAAGTTATGGAATTGACTTTCTGAGGTACTAAGCCACTTGGTAGAGGCAGTGAATCTTCTAAGCGAGGAGGGAAGGAGAAGCATTCTGCCGTACCACTTCTTTCCCCGCTGCACCATACCATACTATAACTACAGAACTCAGCTCATCAGGAGTACATACACTGCACCGGCACTAACCTGCACCAATATTTTCCGAGAACCTCGATTTTTTCTTACATCAGACGCAAATCAGCCCTATCAAGTTGTTTGCCGGGTTCCCGCCCTTTCTTGGAGCTTGTTTCCAAAGCCAAGCCGGTTACACGTGGAATGGATCCATCTGGCACTGGGGCCGATGACGTGGTGGCTCAGCCCAGCAAGACAATACTGCTCCATTTTTCGTCATTGCCATGTGCGACGGTAAAAGCAACCCCTGCAATGTGTGTGCGCATCTTCCATGGACTGGAGGATAACATTATCACTGTTAATTATCCAAGATAGCGTGCGAACCATCGCGCCAGAACAGTGCCTAGGTAAAGAGGTTTGGTTCGGTCACATAAATTAGTTGCTGACATGCCGCGTAGGCATCACAATACTAGCACTCTTACTTTTACGTCACAGCTTGCCGGTGCGCCGGTAATTATTTATGGCGGCCCTTTTGCGACCGGACGACGGTGCCTCATCCACTTTACTGCTCTATATTAAGCTATCCGGGGCCCTCTTCTCCATATGTCTGAGTACCGCCGTTATCTGGTTCTTTCGTCAGCCTAAAAGTCCTAATTATTTTCGCACCACCATGCTACCGGACAGTGTTTACAGGCTCTGCCATGAAGATCAGACCGTCACATCCGAGCTGTTACGCGATCCCTCCCAGTCACCCCCAAAAGTCTTTCACCGCCTCTACAACGATCACAAATCCAACAGTCATTTCGACTCGAAGGGGTCGTTGACCGACAAAGATGAATGGCAAAAGGCGGCAGAGTGCGGGAACTGGGGTAATTCCCAGCCAAGCAAGCTTTTCCTTCAGGTCAGTCAGCTCGATAAACTTCGAAAGGGCCGGGGATGATTGCTGACTCCTCTGATGCAAGATCTACCACGATGCTCTCTGTGCGTTAGATAAGAACCCTATGGCGGGCGTCGTCTCTCCGCCCTTAATGGGAAGTCATGGCGTCGTACCCTTGACCATTATCGCTCCCTTACCAGATTTGTGTCGACACATGGCGAACTGCATCGTGCGTGCGGAGAAGGAGGTCTTCCTGGCAACTAACTTCTGGATCCACTCCGATGCATCCACGCTTATCACCAATGCATTTCGTGAGCTCTCTAAAAGAGCAGGCGAACGCGGTGAAAAGGTGATTGTGAAGATGGTGTACGATCGGGGTGACCCGCAGCAGCTGTTTGAGAACCATCTGCCCGTACCCGAAAAGAAGTACAGCGGCGGGAAGGTGAAGCTCCCATCGTCCGAGGAGATCCCTAATATAAACCTGCAGGTCATTAACTACCACCGACCAGTGTTTGGCACATTCCATGCCAAATTTATGGTCGTTGATCGTCGAATTGCGCTGCTACAGAGCAGCAACGTCCAGGACAATGACAACCTGGAAATGATGATTCATGTTGAGGGGCCCATCGTCGATGGCCTTTACGATACGGCATTGATCTCTTGGGGTCGCCCCTTGGAGCCCACTCTGCCGATGCTCGCCTCGCCAGCCACGGGTGCCGCGATCCCGTGCCAGTCGACCGTCGAGCTGGACCATGCAGCACCAGCACCCGGTCCTCTTCCTGAGCTCACCGTACAGGAGTCTCACTATGATACGAATTTAAAACATGAAGCAGAGCGAATGAATGGGCTACTTGAGCCTCGAGACGGTGAAAACAAAATTCAAGCTGTCACTCGTCGTTTGAGTATGTTGACCCTCGGAACTCTCATTGCAGATTACTGACCGCGACCAAGATACAACGATCCAGCCAAATACGACGGGAGACGCTTCGGAACGCGATCAAGAGCTCCAGATGCAGCCTTATATTGTTCTTCCGCCCCATGATCCTTTCCCAATGGCTGTAGTCAACCGAGAACCTTGGGGAGGTAAGTCTGATCGCGCGCTATTAGCAGTAAATAGGTCACTAACAAAGCAATACTAGCACCGAACCACACGAGCGTCCATACACCTCAGAACAGCAGTTTTCTCGCCGCCATACACAATGCTCAAGAATCGATCTTCATTCAAACACCGAACATGAACGCCGAACCCATCGTTCAAGCTCTGTTGGAGGCTATCAAGACTCGCGGCGTGACGGTCACTGCATATTTGTGTCTGGGCTACAATGATGCTGGGGAGCTACTTCCGTTCCAGAATGGTACAAATGAAATGATCGCGCATCGGATGTACAAATCGCTGGAAACCGATGAACTACGCTCCCGACTTCGAATCTACAATTACGTCGCCAAGGATCAGACCAAGCCCATTCACAACAAGTTCAAGCGGCGCAGTTGTCATATCAAGTTGATGATCATCGATGAGAAGGTGGCTATTCAGGGTAGGTCACATCAATCAGGCATTTTTGTGATGCGACCATGCTGTTGTTAGTGATCTAACGTCGTCAAATAGGAAACGGCAACCTCGACACACAGTCCTTCTACCACAGCCAAGAAGTGAACCTTCTTCTCGACTCACCGATTGTCTGCCGAGCATGGCGGGAGGCTATCGACCGTAACCAGAACACGGCTCTGTACGGTGCAGTCAGCCCGGAAGATGGCTGCTGGCATGATCCTACGACCAATGAAATTCCTGAGGGGTCCATTGGCATTGATCCTGGTCGCTTCAGCTGGGCGAAGGGCGTGGTTGGTGCTGTTCAACGTGTGCGTGGTGCTGGAGGATTTTAATTGACCCTATACGTGCTACTGACTTACGACATCTTGTTTATATTTACATCTGTCTAATCTTGGATTCTTTCTGGTGTATATACTCTTTTGACCTGTATATGCTAATGTGAACAAGAGGCTGCTTTTTTGTACGAATCGCTGCTTTCGGGATTGTAAAAATCTAATCCACGCTCTGAGTCGACCGCAGTTTTCTCTAGTTTCCAAGGCTGATGAGATTGCTCGCGGGTTTAGAGGCTGGGAGCTGCGTCTGGTGCTGCCTACAAGGGATATGGATTGGATGTTGAGGACTACTCTCCCAGAGATTTCGTATCAGTTCGCTTAAAGAGATAAACACCCTTTATCTCAAAAACTCCAACCCCCAATCAGTCTCCCGATGACAGACGATCATATATGAACACGTGACATGCGGTGACCGTGTAGATACTCCCAATCCATTCATTATTCAGAGAGACATTACAAGCTGAAATGAAGAAGTGCATCATTTTACTTAGTTCTGGTGAAAGAATATGTTGGGCTGGACTATGAGATCGGCTAAGCAGCCAACGAGATGGATAGGGCCGGTCTGCCGTCTTCGTCTTGTTTCCAATCCTGGTACTCGTCGCTGGCCAACCCACCCGAGTAGGTAGCATTGGGGTTGTTTCCTCCGTCTATAGAAACTTTTCCGCCAGGGTTTAAGGCAAGAGTGAAATGTACTCAGTACGCAGCATACACATGGCGAGCCCAACTAGTCCCGAACCTCAATCATACTATCCTAGCCAGTAGCTACTTAGCCGCCGAGTAACCTCTAACCAAGATCCGCAAAACAATCGATAGTGGACACACTCGTTGTTCTCACCCTGTAGGAAGAACCTGCCAAAATACAGCTCACGAATCACGAGACATTCCCCACGCCCTGCAACGTCAAATACACATCCGTGCCCCAGCCCCAGAGACTCTGGATGGCAATACTGCCCCCAAAGTACTCCGCGTACGCGCGACTCAACGGCAGCCCGTACCCGAGTCCAGCGATGCTGCTTAGATGCCCATTCGCCCCGCCACCACTGGTGGACGCGATTGTATTCAGTGCCTCCATCCCTTCGTTGCTCTCCGAGCCCCCGTGGTGGTCATCGTACTCCGAGAACGTCGTGAAGCTGTATGACCAGATATTGGGCAGCACTTCGGGGGGAATGCCGCCGCCGCGGTCGCGGATGCGGATCGTGATGCACTGCGCGGACGGCGGCGTGGTCCAGGCTTTGATGGATTCGTTGGCGTCGGCGGTGCCGACCACGGTGTTGTCCATTTCGAAGCCTAGGTCTGCCTCGGATTGAGGAGGGTACGGGTGGTCCTGTTGCAGTTGTTGTTGGGTTGGTTGCTGCCAGCCTTTCGTGTTCATTCTGGCGAGGGGATCGTGGTGGTGATGGTGGGAGGCGGGGACGTCCGGGGCGGCGGCGATGGTGACTTCGATGGGTTCGTGGCCGTTACCGGACTCAACGGTCGCGCGGAAGGCGTTTTTCAACAGCTCGGTGAGGATATATTCGACGTGGACCGGGACGTGTGCGAACGAGGCGTCCGGCTGGCCGCCGATGACGAGCCGGGGCCGCACGCCGTATTTGAGCTCGCAGATCTCGCCGACAAAGTCCTCGCAGAGCTTGACAATCCGGGCCGGTTGCAGGGCGGTGTCAATCACCCCGATGTAGTTGGACGAGGCCGCGGCAGCGTCCTTGACTGGGGGCGATGATTGTGGTTCTTGTTGTCCATTGCTCTCGTGGTGGCTGTCCCGGATCGGCTGCGAGGCGAAATGAAGCGCCAGGTGTTGCTCGGCGATGAGGCGGGTGCCGATACGGGCGCGGAGGTGGGTGTCCAGGAAGCGGGTGACATCGGTGGAATCGATGTAACGGCGGCATTCGAGGAACCCGCGGGCGAGAATTGGGATCGTGTTAGTGTGCGTGTGTACCAGGTCGGCCAGGACATCGGCGAACTGGGTCAACTCTTCCACGGTGGTGACCTGCCGCTGTTGGTAGGGGAGGAGAGTGGAGAGTGAGTGGAGGTAGTTGTTGTAGATCTGCGTGACATGGGGGTTCGATACGACGATGAAGGGGAGGTTCCGGAGCGCTTCGATTCGTGATGCCAGCCGTGCTGGGAGCAGGGACAGGGTGAAGTTGGCCGAGGCCAGGAGGGCATCCTTGGACAACGGCGGTCTCCCGTGTCTGAGCAGACGTCAGCGTCAGTATGCACTATTACTTCGAGGCAGTCCCAGGCTTGTAGCAGCCGAGGGAAAATCGTACTTGAGCAAGTCTGCCAGCGTCAATGGCCGTCGACGACTGGCTGCAAGACGTGCGACTTCATCGTTAGCCCCGTACGCGAAGGGGTGCTGGGAAGTTGAGACGTGTCGAGGAGATGACGACAACCAAGGGTGTATCTTAGGGAGGGTGCTTAGGTGTGTGCGCGAGAGTCTGGCACCCACAGACGGCATCTGCAAAGCCCGTGGTAGTGTCATCACGGTTTGTATCCATCCTTCAGCATCAGATCGCGGAGGTTAACTTATCGGAAATGACCTCACTGCCGTCCTTGCTGGCGGGATTCCCGCAATTCTGCCGAAAGGCGGTATGCTTGTTTCCAGCCAGTTGGCTTTCTTCCACCGCAAATAGCCGATAATATCTTATCTTCCCAATCACATATACCTACCATTTCATCGGCCTAATTACTGGAATCGCAAGGCTACTACCAGAAAATATGCAGTGTAACAATATGATCAGTTTCCCTTGCGGAATATCATAATTGCCATTACAAGACCTTGTCATAAGAATCCGCCCTTAGCCGGTTTCCGCAACATATCGATACGATATTCTTATGCCCTCTTGTTTGTTTTTGCTACATAGACCTGGAAATATTCCCTTAGTATGTTTATCGGAAGATATAGCTTTTCGTCTATACTATATTTATCATGAAGGAATTCCCATATCACCCGAATAGGTGATTATGCAAAGATTACCTTATATACAGGTAAGAATACAGCCCGTCACGTAATATTTTCTGAAGGTAGATCACATGGCTGTAGAAATGTACTGTAGTCACAAAGTAATACGTTGCTAAAATGATAAATAGTAGCCCAGGGATTCAATTGTTATATTGAGGCCTTACAGCACCAAGAGACCCGGTGCATTTATTACTGCTAACAGGCGGTTTCACCCGGTTGCATGTTCCATTTGCATCCCGATTGCCTTTGCTCTACCTTTATTGCTACTATTTCAAACTGGTAGACATAACCAATATCATGCAGAAGAATATATTGCTCTCTTCACTGCTGAACTACATTATTAGAGTACGACATTAGGGCTTGTGCTTTGCCATATAGGTAAATAACCTACTCTTTCCTTGCTTAGGCTGGGAGGCTGTTGGCCACTACCTAGTATGTATTCACCTTCCATCAAGTAGATGTATATAGAATCACCATAGAACTTATATTAACTCACCCAGATACTTGCATCTACTTTTCGATGTTTTTGTCTACTTTTCCTGCCTTTTTCTCCTCCTTCTCTCTATCTTTCATCTCCATCTTTCCGGATTCTTTACAGTAGCAAGGCTTACGGCACAATAGATGGGAGCGATCTCGTCATTGTCTACAGCTCCATGATAAACCAAATGGAGACAGCGATAAATTTCAGGGTTACCAACAACAACCCCCGTCAAGGAAGAACACACACAGAGGAAAAAGACTCAAGTTGAGTCCCACGCCCGAAACATCTTTTGGGAAATCTTCGACCCAGTCACGTACTGTTCGGGCAGAGAAGATGAAGAGGAAGAGGCATTTGAAGACCTCGATGACTTTGTACTGCGCAGGCGAGGCGTATTGTGATATCCATTCCCTTTTGTAATTTGCAGACCTGCATTAGCTACAGCAAGCGAAATGCTCTCAGATTACTTTCCTTGGTCAGCCAGAATACAACTCTTCGAGGGTCTACTGGTGGGAAGCAACTTACTTTATTATATATGTACTGCCAAATACACAGCAAATCGTCGATGTCAGTATATAAGCTGTATTTGTATTACACTGAGACCTATGCGGCACTAGCAGGCGGTGGCTGCGGAAGAGGGCTTGGTGACTTGTATTCTGACTAGCCAGGGAGGGTAGATATTCCGAACAACAGTTCTTCTAAGGAGAGATGGTCATTACGCTGGCGAAAAAATATATTGTGAAATCGATGTATGTTATCATTGACAAAAAATGCAAAGAAACAAAAGACAAACACCGCGCTCAGCTCGGAATCGCCGCGCAGCGGACGATCCGGTCCTCACACTCATGATGCTAAGCCTCTTGCTCTACAGTGAACTAGAATGATTTCGTAACTCGTACATGACACACATCCTTTAAGCTTCCCGACTCAGTGTTGTCTGTTGTCTCCGCAAGTGAGAGGAAAGTTGGAGGATGTTTACGCTTGAGTGCGCACCTCGCCGTCCTGCTCGACATGCACGTGTTCGTTGGCTTCGAGCGAAAGGACGCTGTCCTCGGGGTACTCAACACTGGCGCAGTAGTCAGCTAGTCTGCCCTCTCGAGATTTGTTTCGGAAGTGTGGGTTGTGCGGGTGGAGTAGTTGGGTAGCGGGAGGGTGGATGTGGCTGCCTTACGTGAAGCCCTTGATGAGAGAGTATTCGTGCTTGATGGTACCGCCCTTCTCGGTGGCCTGCTGTTTGGCCCTGTTGACAGGAAAAGAAGATGTTAGCCTGTGTTCATACAGGAGGCCACTCAAAGTCACTTACTTCTCCAACTCCTCGGGGGGAGAGTCCTTCTTCAGGGTGACCTGAAACAATGGTTAGTGTTTCCGGAGAGGGGGCAGAGGGGGGGATCAGCGGGGAAGTGGAGCGCAACGAACGTTGTAAAGAGGCATTTTGGTTGCGGTGTGATGAAAGGCAGAGAGCCGTGAGAATCTAGTGAGAATGATGGCTGGAAAAGTTGCGATGGAGGGAGTGGTTTATGGAAAGTGGATTGTGGGAAAGAAAAGCGGTGCTCGGGGGGAAGGGGGACGAGAGAAGGTTTTATACTCTTGTTGCGTGGTTCTAGTCTGAATAGGCAACCCTTGCTCTGCGGGGGGGGAGGAGTTGCCCGTTGCCCGCACGGCTGATAAGGGGTTGATGGTGGTAATGATGGTGGTGGTGGTTACAGCCACTAACTAGCCCACTTTACCGGTAAGAGGGGGAGGGGCATTTCGTTTTCTTTCCCTTTCTTACTACTTGCGCCATGCCTGACAACATATGTGTCACTTGGTCAACTTTAAGTTATCCTACTTGTCAAGTCTACTACTGATCAGGCTACAAGCGGAGTGAAGTCACCCATTGCGATAAGACGGTTGTTTATCCCCCACCAGAAAAGCCATGACGCATGCACGATGACGCTATCGGATGGTCACGTGGCCGCCTGATTGAAAGCCCCTCGGCTCAGCTCAACGCCTTTGTCCCAATCGGGATCTGTCGTGAGGATCAACGATCTTATCCCATCTCATGCACGGTGACGACAAGGGAAACTCCCAAAAGATCAGTCTGTCAGGAAAAACTTGTTCTGACATACTGTACTACTTGCGAACTCCGAGACATCAAGCATGGCTTCAATACTGGATATTCATGTCGTTCGTGCCTATGATTCGTGATCTCTGTACAGTCTGTCGTGATATTCCCCCGTTAACTTGGGTCACTTCCTATTGGTAATCACCCCTTTGCACAGCCTCAGATATCCTTCAGAAACCCAACTTCAATCACTCGTTCCGCCTCGAGACCCAAAGATGCAATCTTGGCCCGAGTGTTATCTCTGATCCACAAGAAGATCCACAGCACCAGGCCACGGAACAAGTTGGTGCCTTTCTTGATTCTCATCTGCTCCTTGCCGGTGATATAGAGGATGTTATGCGCACACGCGCGCTCGAGCTTGTTCAACGAGTCGTTATATCGGACCAGGCTGCTGGACTGTGCTGCTTCCGATCTGCTTTCTCCTTGACTTTCTGTGCTTGGAGATCGATGTCCACTCATTGCGACGCCATCCAGCTCCATGCTATGCCCGTTATCGATAAGATATCTGCGGACCTGATCCGTGATGGTACTGGCTAAATTTGGAGTCAAGATCTCATCATTGTAGCCGTAACGCACCACAAGCCGATAGCAGTCGGGGATGGCGAGCCGTGAAACAGTATACCTGTCTTCCACGGGGACCGATGGCGTCTCGAGAGGTCGCAGGTGGAAGAACACAATCACTTCCGGCATGGAGGTGAGCTTGAGGACGAATTGACTAAAAACGATAGGGGTGGTCTCGCCCGCCTTATCGAAGAAGATCCCCACTCCTGGGTTGGTGCTCAAAGGGACTCCGTTGAAGCGGTCGGTGAGACGCATCCTACCATCTGGATCTTTGGTCACGAAATGTGAGGTAGGGAACCGGTCCTCAGCCTCAGCAAACCACTGCTGCTCTTTCCCGAATCTCCATAAGAGGAACACAAGTGCTAGTATAGTCGCTAGCGCTAGGGTGAACCATGCACCCGTAGGAACCTTCGTGAGCGCTGATGAGAGATATGCCGCATCAAAACAAGCGATCGCAAGCCAAGGTAGGAAGACAATGAATGGGCTGATGCGCCAGACGAATATTGCCACCATCGAGACCATACAGGTGTCAAAGAAGGTGACGAAGATGACACAGACACCATATGCATTTCCAAGGGATGTGGTCTGCTTTGCGTCAGAAAAAGAGCCATGGCAATGTAGAGAGGCAACATACGTTGTTGTAGATCGATGCTACCAGGATCGTTCCAACCATTAAGAGCCAGTTAACGATCGGAATGTAGAGCTGACCGTGGAACACATCGGACGTGTGTACCACCTTGATCTGGGGAAAGTAGGATAGCTTCATCACTTGTGCCAAAAGCTGCTGTTGCATCAGAACATGCATCATAATCATTGGCGTTAACCAGAGAAGAGGGCCATACCTGAAATGTGGCAGTGATAATAGCCTGCGATGCAACGATCGCCGCGAGAATGGCGATAATCAAGGCCGGATATATGGTACCCGGCGGCGCTGCTTTATAGAATGGGTTGGAGTAGGCTTCCGGGTGCACACTGATGTATGCTGCCTGCCCTATGTACGCCAACAGAAGACACGGAAAGGTGTAGCACAGCCAGCTGATCTGAATTGCTTTCCGACTGAAAGCGCCCAGGTCGGCGAAGAGAGCCTCAACACCAGTGAAGGCGAGCAAGGTTCCGCTCAGCATGCGCCACCCAGACTCGCCATGTCGAACAAGGAACTTGAAGGCGTAACCCGGGCTGAAGGCAATGAAAACACCGGCATCGTAATGCACGAGGTTGTAGATGCCAAACACAGCGTTGAAACCCAGCCAAATTATCACAATTGGTGCAAATGCAAACGTCATCTTGGTGATGCCGAGCGGTTGTATCAGAAACAATACGACCAAGATAGCATCAGTCACGCCGATAACGGTGCCTTTGGAGATGTTTGGAGAGACGATCTCAATGCCCTGCACGGCTCCTAGGACGGACTGAGCTGGGGTGAGAAGACCATCGGCCAGAACCATTGTAACGGCCAATACGCCTACCACTTTCAGAAGATGCCTTGCGAACTTGCTTGTCTCGAGGCTGTGCCTGGCGTATCTGCTGGCTCTTTCAAGATCATTCGACAGGTGTCTTTTCATTTGGACAAGGGAGGCTTCTCGAGGATCGCGATGGGTTATGTTCATCTAAAGCTAGCATGTTAGTTCAAGATCTGGCATATCTTGGATGTGACAGGCTGACATAGCGACTGAGTAGAGAGTATGTGCTGAATGTCCCACCCTCGCCATCATTATCAGCATGGAGCACGATGAAGATGTACTTGACAGTCACCATCAGGATCAAGGACCATATGATGATGGAGAGGACGCCGATGAGATCGTCTCGCGAAGGTGGCGCGCTGAATGTCGACGAATAGACATACAGCGGACTGGTCCCGATATCACCATAGATCACACCGATGGACTGATACGCGAGCCACAGAAGCATTCTGCCTTTGAAGACCTGCTCACGTCAACTTTGCTGAGCCTCAATAAGCACAAAAGTGTCAGCAATACCTGTTTCTGCTTATAGTCCCCTGGCTTGCGCAGACCGGGGTCATCATCATGTTCCTCGACCGTGTTCGATTTCCTCTCGGCCTGATTCAGACAATTGTTCCAGGGACGAACATTGTAAATCGTGTCGTACGGCTGTGAAGGCTCTTTATAGACCTTCTCGCCTACAGTAGGCGCTTTCTCAGCCTCCGATTCTGAGTCCATGCTGATAGTGTGAGATGACTGCAGTCCGGGAACCGCTTGACGAATGTTAGAGAACAGAGAACATTCGTATAAACACAATCAGGCAATAGTCGAAACTTCGGGTTCGGAGGAGTCGTCGCATCAGTTGAAGGAAAAACATGATCAACCTTGCTTATGGCCCAGCTCCGAGTATTTGTATCACTTGTTTCAGCCTCAAAGTCAGCGGGAGTAGCGAATCCATGATTCCAGACAATCTTTCCTCGATGACAAGCCTGTTCCGACGGCAACTCTCGACATCGACAAATTGCAATTATCCTACCATTCGTATCCTTATCTTTGCAGATTTCTTTTTTTTCTGGTCGATCGAAGATATAAAGCGAAGATAAGCAGAAGAGCTAGCTGAGCTCTCTTGTACGAGGCATTTTTCATGACCAGCGCTGCTCTCTCGATCCTCTCGGTGCGGGATTTGTTGACACCAATGGCTCCCCGGCCCCGCGCGATAAGCTGGACAAGCATCGTGGCACATGGGATCGAACGCTCACTCCGACTTGCTCAGATCTCTAGGGTCAAGGCATTAATGTACAGGGTTATTCGAGGTCAATGAACCGTGTCCGATATCAATTCCGCGGGCGGGAAGTGTTCGTTCTGACCGCACGCGTTCCTCAATCCCTGGTGTCATCGAAAGGTGAACGAATCAAATCAGATCAATTTTGGACTATGCAATTTGAATGCCGCATCTATCAGTTTCATGTCTTTGTGCAAAAGGGAAGCTTCACTCTACTAAACATACAGAGCAACAATCTAAGCTGCAGAGACCTCACCCCCCGGTTACAGCCCAACATACCCCGTTCCATCATCCTCCCTCTGTGGCATCTTCATGCCATGTGCACCCAGATATTTGGGACTCTGGGGTGCTTTCCATCCCTCCAACACCGTCGTGTCCGCAAGTTTGTATACTTCCACCCCCAGAGGACGAGTTGTAGCCCCCATGTCCGCCTTTTCCTCCCAACCCCATTCTGACAAGTCGCCTGCGAAGCCTCATTAGCTGTGTACAGTACACCTTCTACTAGCGACTCTCACTTACCTCCAGGGCACGCGGAAAGCGCACAGAGAACATCCACCTCCGCAAAGAACTCAAAGTACTCCCCCGCTTTGGCCGGCGAAGTCTCCATAAAGTACTTGCCCTCCTCGTCCAGCCCTGTCACCTGAAACACGTTGAGCACATCGTGCACATCGAGCTCGGTCAGCCCGTACGGCACCACCGCCCGGGTCAGGTTCGAATGGCAGTGGAAGTCGAAACTCTCCCCGCCCATGACGAGGTTGACGTAAGGGTCGCAGCGAGTGCCCAGGAGGTCGTGCACGCGTCCGCCGAACTGCGTGGTCCCAAAGCCCTTCCCTTCTTTCTTCTTGCCCTCCTCGTCCAGGATCTCATGGAGCTGGCCGCCGGCGAGTGAGTCTCCGGTGATGGATACCAGGGGACGCAGGTACGGCAGGTTGGACCAGAGCCGGTCGCCCACGGACACGTGGGAGGCATGGATCTGGCGGGTACGTGCAGCCCACAGGCGCTCACGGGGGTTGTTCGCGTTCCAGATATTCAGATCACCCACCTGGGGCCCCTTCGGTGTGGTGAGACGACAGACGTGGCCGGCGGGGACCACCCACGCTTGCCCCGAGCATGGTCGGATCGTGAAGGAGGACTCGAGGACGCGTTGAGAGGGTTTGTTTGCGGTTTCGGAAATGGACCTGTAGACTTGGGAGATCGCATGGACTCCGGAGTCTGAGGGAGCCGTGTATGCGGGCGGAGGACGACGTGCAGGAGCCATATTTATAAGGGCGTTCTCTTCCTCTGAATCTACTCAAGTCTGTAATGGAACGAAAGCCCTGCGATATGCAACCAAAGTTTAGGGATTAGGATTCTGATTTAGAAAACGACCTCGGGAAAAGGAATCCGGCGCCATTAAATGCATCATGATCCTGGGAACTGTGCCGATAATCGCACTCCTCGAGTATGACCCATCGTTTTCGACCCCATACTACCCCGCTCATATCTCACAGTCGTGACCTCTTCTGGCAATGGCGACGACGAGGAACCGGGCCGATATAGTGGGGTTTAGACCTTATCGAGTCTTGCCCGGGCCGGACGATAAGTGGGAGGGAGTTTATCGATAACTCATCAATTAGTCACAAGAAGTTCCCCGCCTGAATGGATGCCTGGCGCAGTTCAGTTTTCTGCTGGTAGGTACCGCCCGTTAGTGTGCTCCGGGCGGGAAAGATCCCGGGACTCGGAGAAAAGCTTCTTCCGGCAAAAGAAAATGGGAATAATAATTTTGGAGCCAAGCTTTCTGAAGACATTCGGAGCAGTCTTGCAGATTTGCGCTCATCTTTTTTGCTGTGTCACGGCTTCGAATCAAGCGGGGAAAGGATTTCACTCTAGAGGTCTTCTAGACCTCTCACTTTGCCCACAATGGAGCAGCAATCCAACAGGTCGCATCGAGCCACCAAGGAGAAGAAAAAGTATGATGGTATGTAATGGATCTTTTTGCGCATGCCTCCGGAATGAAGTTGCCGGCTTGTTCCAACATCGTTTCTTCAACGTGATCAGGTAGCTGACAGAAGTCACTCTCACAGGACCGAACCCTAAAGCCTTTGCCTTCTCGAACCCTGGCAAATTGAACAAGGCCGGCGCGAGATCGCACGATGTATGCGCTACCCACCCTCCGCAACGATACAACTTTTTGACAACGCCACTGACCTTGCACCCTCACTTATCTAGATCAAAGAAAAGAGACTCCATGTGCCCCTCGTGGATCGCCTGCCCGAGGAGGCGCCTCCTCTCATCGTCGCCGTCGTTGGACCACCTGGAGTAAGTGTTCCAGCAGGGTTTCACATGCGAGAATCCAGGAATAGGAAATTTTGACCGTGGTTGTGTTCGATCTAGGTGGGCAAGACGACCCTTATCAAGTCCCTCGTCCGTCGCTACACGAAGCAGACCCTCAGCACACCGAAAGGCCCCTTGACTGTGGTCACCTCGAAGAAACGCCGTCTCACGTTCCTCGAATCGCCCTCCGATTCCCTCGCCAGCATGATCGATGTCGCCAAGATCGCCGATATCGTGCTGCTGATGATCGACGGTAACTATGGATTCGAGATGGAGACCATGGAGTTCTTGAACGTCCTCGGCTCCCACGGAATGCCCGGTAACGTTTTCGGTATTCTGACCCATCTCGACCTTTTCAAGAAGCAGAGCACTCTGCAGGCCGCCAAGAAGCGCCTCAAGCACCGTTTCTGGAGCGAACTCTACAACGGCGCCAAGCTCTTCTACCTCTCCGGAGTCGTCAACGGTCGTTACCCCGATCGCGAAGTCCACAATCTCTCCCGCTTCCTGTCCGTGATGAAGAACCCTCGACCCCTCGTATGGCGTAACTCCCACCCCTACGCCCTCGCAGATCGCTTCTTGGATATCACGCCACCCACCCAGATTGAGGAGGACCCGAAATGTGATAGAACGATAGCTCTTTACGGTTACCTGCGTGGTACCAACTTCTCGGCTCAGGGAGCGCGGGTGCACGTTCCGGGAGTCGGTGATTTAACGGTCTCCGCTATCGAGTCTCTGCCGGATCCGTGCCCGACACCGTTCTTCGAACAGCAGGCTGCAAAGGCCAACGGAAAGACCAGCCGGCGCCGATTGGGGGATAAGCAAAAGCTTTTATTCGCGCCCATGTCTGATGTTGGTGGTGTGTTGGTGGATAAGGATGCCGTTTACATTGACGTCAAGACCTCAAACTTCGAACGAAACGAGGACGAGTCCGACGACGAGGAGCGCGGTCTTGGCGAGCAACTGGTTGTTGGCCTGCAGGGTGAGCGCAAGCTTCTCGGTGAAGCTGACGGCGGTGTCCGCCTCTTCCGTGGTGGTGAAGCCATTGCGAAGGCAGACGAGGAGGATGGTGCTGCCGGAAGAAAACACAAGCGCCACGCTCGGTTCCTCGACGGCGAGAACAATAATGCCGATGTTGTCGACGATGAAGACGAAGGTTTCGAGAGCGCAGAGGATGATGATGACGCTGAAGAGCTGGATGAAGATGAGCTGGAGGAGGACCTTAGCGAGGATGAAGAGATTGATGCTTCCGCACCCGCAGATTTCGAAGCCAACTTCAGGGAGAGGCAAAACGGCAATGCTCGCCCGACCGAAGGTGATCTTGAATTCGCCGATAGCGACTCTGATCTCGGCTCTATCTCATCTGTGGAGGACCAGATTCTGGAGAGTGACGACGAGGAGGACTCTGACGATGAGGAGAATGCCCGCTGGAAAGAGAACATGCTTGCTAATGCCAAGTCACTTCATTCGAAGCGCCCGAAGTTCCGCATCACTGATTTGTCTCGGATGCTGTACGACGACTCCATCGCCCCTGAGGCCGTGATGCCCAGATGGAGCGGTCGTGATGAGAACGAAGACGAGGACGAGGACGAGGATGAGCAGGAAGAGGACACCTTCTTCAAGAAGACCGGCGCCGAGCAGAAGGAAGAAGAGGAGTTCCGTCATATTCCTGAGTTTGACTACGCCAAGCTGGAAGAGAAGTGGCAGGATGAGGAGCTTATCGAGTCTCTAAGAAGCAGATTCGTCACGGCCAAGTTGTCTGGTGACGGCGACGATGATTCGGATGTGGACGATGCCTTTGACTCGGACGACGAAGGAGATGGTGAATTCGAGGACCTGGAAACGGGTGAGGCTTTCAACGGACTCTCCGACGACGAAGAGGGTGGCGAGGAGGGTGAGAAAGAGGAGGGTCACGTCGATCTGGACGCAGAGCGTGAGCGCAATGCGAAGAAGAAAGAAGAGCTACGACTCCGCTTCGAGGAGGAAGATCGCGAGGGATTTGCAAACTCCAAGGATAACTCGCGCAAGGACGGTGGAGGGGATGAGGAGTTCGGGGAGGACGACTGGTACGATATGCAGAAGGCTAAGCTACAGAAGCAACTCGACATCAACCGCGCCGAGTTTGATCTGCTCGACCCGGCCTCCCGCGCCCGAGCGGAAGGTTTCAAGGCCGGCACATATGCACGTATTGTTCTCGAGAAGGTGCCCTGCGAGTTTGCCACGAAGTTCAACCCTCGTTACCCCGTCATTGTGGGTGGCCTGGCACCCACCGAGGACCGCTTCGGCTATGTCCAGATCCGCATCAAGCGCCACCGCTGGCATAAGAAGATTCTCAAGAGCGGCGATCCCCTCATCTTTTCCCTCGGCTGGCGCCGCTTCCAGTCCCTGCCGATCTACAGCACATCCGACAGTCGGACGCGTAACCGTATGCTCAAGTACACCCCCGAACACATGCACTGCTTCGCTACCTTCTACGGCCCGCTGGTGGCGCCCAACACCGGTTTCTGCTGCTTGCAATCCTTCTCCAACAAGGCCCCTGGCTTCCGCATCGCTGCCACCGGTGTGGTGCTGAACGTCGACGAACACACCGAGATCGTCAAGAAGCTCAAGCTGACGGGTGTTCCCTACAAGATCTTCAAGAACACCGCCTTTATCAAGGACATGTTCAACTCCTCCCTGGAGATTGCCAAATTCGAGGGCGCCTCGATCCGCACCGTCTCCGGCATCCGCGGTCAGATCAAGCGCGCGCTGAGCAAGCCCGAGGGCTACTTCCGTGCCACCTTCGAGGACAAGATTCTCATGAGTGACATCGTCTTCCTGCGGGCCTGGTACCCGATCAAGCCCCACCGCTTCTACAACCCGGTCACCAACCTGCTGGATCTGGCCGAGGAGGGTGCGGCGGACAGCGGCTGGCACGGCATGCGCCTCACCGGCGAGGTCCGCCGCGAGAAGGGCATCCCCACCCCGCTCGAGAAGGACTCGGCGTACCGCAAGATCGAGCGCCCCGAGCGCCACTTCAACCCGCTGCGTGTGCCGCGCCAGCTGGCCACGGACCTGCCCTTCAAGTCACAAATCACCAAGATGAAGCACCACAAGGACAAGACCTACATGCAGAAGCGGGCGGTGGTCCTCGGGGGCGAGGAGAAGAAGGCACGCGACCTCATGCAGAAGCTCAACACCATGCGCAACGAGAAGCAAGCCAAGCGCGCGGCGAAGCAGGAGGAACGCCGCAAGGTGTACCGCGCCAAGGTGGCCGAGGGTCTGGAGAAGAAGGCGGAGCGCGAGAAGAGGGAGCGCGATGACTACTGGCGTCGCGAAGGTAAGAAGCGGAAGGCTCAAGACGGAGAAGGGGGCGGCGGTGGCAAGAAGCGCAGGTAGAGCACCTAGTTGCTTTTTTCAGGGTCAGGTTATTTACAGGTTTTATTTCAAAAGTTGCTTCTGTGAATAATGTCCATGTGTATCTATGTGCATGCTGCATGGGATGGATGGCGTTGAGTTTCGTTGCTTGGACCCTATTTCTTCTCTGACATGGTTTGAACATATACTCATTGTTACTTGTTCTTGGGATTGATGCTTGCTCTATACCAGGAAGAAATAGATTGACTTGGTGTCATTTGTCATTTTGGATCATGACGTTGTTCGTCGTTGGTGGTGTTGTAGAGCCTGAAGTATCCAGGTTTGGTGCCTGACGTTTCTGGCTTCCAGACTCAACGGTTATCACCACGTGACTGCGCTGTGAACGCGTCGCCCTCCGACTCGTCGTCGCCTGGCGACTGCGAGTCTGGCGTCCCGGTGTTTTCCCCATGGGCAAGCTTGATAGATTGTTGGCCTGTTTGTCAATTGATCTATTCAGCAAGCCGTTATTACTCTCTTATGGCCTTTCTCTACCTTCTATCCCTCGAGTCGTCCTCTTTTGGCCGTTCGACCTGGTGTTCGGATTGAGGCTCGCGTGAGAGAGACGTGTGAGAGACATTGCTGCGTCTTGCCGCATCGCCTGCCACCCGGCTGCGTCCGTCCGAAGATTCCACAACATCTGCCTCCTTGCAGGAAAGCCACGAACCCAGTACACATCCCGCCTAGACTCAAGTACACTGAGTGTGCCAGTCAGAGTGGATTGATTGACTGGGTCGGGCTGCGGGACATTCCCGCGCCAAAAATATCCGCGACGCCTGGCAATCGGGGGAAAATCAGCGGCGAATAAGATACGTCCAGTTCATGCGGATTTTCTCTGCGACTTCAGCAAAAATCCAAATTTGATTGCCCTCAATCTGGGGGTGGGGAGGGGCTTGAGTCATTGTATCTGCCCTGCTTCCCCGTAAAACATCGTCTGCTCTCAAGACAGTACCAGACAAAGAAAAACAAGCCGCATTGCGGTCAGTCCTCAACATCTCTTTTTGTGGTTCCGCCCACATTTCTATAGTCCGGGCCCAACATGAGCAGCGGAGCGCCGCGCTTGGATACGCGCCAGCACGTGCACTCCGCGCAGTCTTCCTCGTCGCGACAGCTTGACTCTCGGCATGATGCAAGGGGTGAGAGACAGGACGGTGCTTTGGGTTTCGGTAAGGCTGCCAATGATCCAGAATCGCAGGGAGGTATCGCGCGGGGGCCGTCGTCGTCGACGGATCACTCCTCGCTGGTGGGACCGGCCACAGCCCACTTGACGCCTGAGTTCCCTTTGTATGACGATGATAGGCACGGTTCCTCGTACTCCTCTTCGCGTGTATCGGCTTCGCAGGGAACTTCATCAGCCGTGTCGCAGCCGTCGAAGGTGTCCAATTCGGTTCGGTCCGTGTCGGAAGGCAGACAGCTGAGCATCGAGGAAGCGACCGCGGGGCAGCAGGCCACGCCCCGACCACTTTCGGTATCGCGCAGTCCTTCTGGAAAGGGCTCGCTGGGGAAGCAGCGTGCGCCAGGGCTTGCTGAGTCCGTTGCGGAGACGTCGAAGACGGGAGGAAGAGGGATGGAGAGGCTCCGGTCGAGCAGTATCGGGTCGCTCTCCCGCGAAAGCCGAATCGCAGCGGTAACTTGTTCCTTCTACTTCTGGTGGGGTGCTGGGGTTGCTGATATGAGTTCAGTTGTCCGTGCACCTGCGCACTCGCCTTTCGTACGCGGCGGCCAAAATTGAAAAGACCCGACAGATGCAGAAGGCCCAGGACCTACCGCCGACGGCGCGCATTGACTCGCTGGTTCGATCGGGGCAGCTAGCCTATTTTGACCAGGTCGATGCACAACACCCAGAGGGGTTGGGCTCGCCTGCCAGCACGACGATGTCGTCGCCAGACATGTATGGCACGGCTGGGTTCAACCGGCCTGTTGGGTCGGCGCGGCTCTCCCCAGCGGCCTGGTCGGAGGCTGCTACATCTCCTCATGCGGGATTCTCGAGGAATCACTATCATCATCATCATTATTCTCATTCTCATATAGACCACTCCACCCGTCCAAAACTCGCCCCGCCTGTAGATATCATCTCGAAGGAAGGAAGTCACGGGAACCGCCGTCGACGTCCGAATCCAGATGAGTTCATAAGCCCGCCCACCTTCACTCATCGCAGACATCATTCCCACCAGGACGTGGGCCTGTCCCAGTCCAGCGCAAACTCAGACACCATCTTGGTACCAGGGACGCCTCCGCTCCAACCGTCTGGCCCTATGCCGTCCGCGCGCCATGGTGGCGGGGCGGGTGAGCAGCACGACCGCGCCCGGAGTAGCGCAATGGAGCAGGACGCGATCGAGACGCTGCTATTCATGTCCAGCCCCGGCCACTCGGGGTACTACTCGACCCACTCCCAGCATTCGCGGCGGCATCAGCACCAGCACGTCCCGCGGAGCAGCAACGGGTCGCAGGAGTCGAGTCTGCGCGTACCGTGGAGCCAGCCCTCCTATCCCGGTAGTACCCATGGTCATGGTCAGCCACGAGCCGGGTCGGCCGAGGAAGTCACCGGGTTGGAGGCTCAGGCGGGCGACGAGATCGACCGGATGCTGGACCAGATGGACAGTGACAGTGAGGATGATGCAGTCCGAAGCAGGCGGTAGTAAGCTTTTCTTGTTGGGGGTAGTCGGCTGAGACGCAGAAAGTATGCATAGACGCGGGCAGTCTTTGTACAAACTTAGAGCGTTGATTTCGAGATAGGTAGTCCTGACCTAGAGCATTGGTTAGAGATCACTTCCTCATTGAACCACAGCAATGTCAAGTGCATTACACACCAATCTCTCCTAGTTACTATACAAAACCCGTATCCTAACTCCAACCCAACCAACCCATACATCTTCTACATCAACATTTAAGAATAAACAACCAAAGAACTAAGAGAACTCCAACATCCCACAAAACTGCCCCGCTCCCTCCACAGCCGCAACCCACCCCAACCGCCTCCCCGTAAACAACTCCGCCTCGGGCCTCCTCTCCAACACCTCAACATCATCCAGCACCCCCGCCCGCACAACCGTCACCTCCGCCGGCTGCCCATCCGCATCGATCTTGTGCCCGTAGAGGGGCGAGCCTGTCCCATCGTCAACGTGCCACATACGTCAGCTAAGCCAGCCTTCCCATAAAGCCAACCGGTTCAACCATCATCCCCCCCCCCCAACCCTGACCACAAGACAAATCCTCATCCCCAACCCAAGAAAAGCAAAACAACAGACGTAAGGGAAAGGCGGGGGGAACGAACCACAATCCCCACAAAAGTAATTCCGCACCGCATTCCCACTATCGGCCGTTTTGGCGACGGCCTTGGGCGTGCCGGCGACCACCCGGACGGCCGACGTGGGCACGAGGAGGCTGTGCGAGTAGGCTGAGCCGGTGAGTTTGCGGCAGTCGTGGCAGTGGCAGAGACCCTGTTGCATTCACCGGTGGTGTTAGGGTGGAGTCTGCTGGGTTGGGCTGGGTTGGGTCGCTGTAGGGGTAAGGGTAGATTCTGGGTGAACTTGCCGTTGTGAGGGGCGGGCTGGTGCATTCGATGCGGATGGCGGTGCAGAAGCAGCTGCCTTTTGTTGTCATTCTTTCGGGGATCTGGGGTTTTTTGAAGGTGAGGGTGGGTTGGGGGCTGGGGGCAGGGGGCAGAAGGCAGGGACTGCTGGATGAGGTTGTTTATGTGTTGGCGTAGGTATAGTATGAATGTGGCTCTAGTCATGAACCGAGGCATCTATCGATCTATATACTTATGCAACGGATATCTGCCTAACTTAATTAGGTTGACTATCCAGGCTGTGACTAAGCATCTGGGCGACATGGTTGGCCCCAACGAGAAAAGGAGTGAGTGAGCGGAGCGGAATCCTTCTTCCCAACCATTTGCTGGACTGACTGATTGACTTATGAGGAGGCTTCAGAGGTAGAGAGAAGGGTATCCTGCCCAAGGGCAGTCTGCATGATGCGCTCAGTAACGTGGGTTATGTACGTCCTCAGCATGCTAACTGTTTTCATTTGCGAAGCCAGCCCGCTGCCTGCTAAGGGCGTTCTAACAATGCCGCCCTCTCTTCTGCAAGCGGGAGCACCGCCTTGTAAGCATAACTATATAATCATGCAGTAGGTCCTTGAAGCCGAACTCTATTCACGCCCAGGTCTTAGAGATGTAAGCATTAATCTATATGAGCACTTAGTTTCTCCGAGCTAACAACCGGACAAATTTATATACTAGTAGATATGAGGTTCCTATGCTCCATGATTGGAAGAGCTACAGTCACTATGACTCGCGAATGACAAGGTATCGAATGTATTTCATCAGAGCGGCTTCACAATCAAGGAGGCAGCACAAGTCCGCCTCGTGCATCATCGAGTGCGTGAAACTGATCTCGCTGTAGTTCGCGGACCGGGAGGGAGGCGGGATCCCGGCCTCGTTGTTCCACGTCGCGAGCGTGAAAGCGATAGACTCCAAAGCTGGCAGGCGGCGCACGAGGTTGATTCGGTGATAATACGACTCCGGAATGTAATGCAATTCGTCGTTTTCGGGCGAGTCTTGGTCGGAAAGGAAGATGGCCTTCCGGAGATCTGTCCTCAGATTCAGTATATCAACTTCAGCCAATTCTTGAGTCTCACTCGGGGGCCTCTGGAAATCCGGGTCTTCGCGATCCGTAACTTCGCGAGCTCCACGCACCTCCAGATGGTGGACATGCTGAGCCGTTGCCGGGTTACGGAGGAGATGCAACAAGGTTTCGAATCCAGTCACAAGATCTTCTCTCTCGCATATTCGGAGTTGACGATATTTAGTCCCGAGGTCCATGTTGGAAACCATGTGCACATGACGACTCTGTACAGGATTAGTCGCCGATGGCACTTGTAGGTGATTGTACAGCGATGATAATCGGCAGCGGGCGTGATGGAGAGAGCTATGACGACACACGGTTATAGGCAGAGCTTTACTGATGAAGTGCATTGGAAAGCAAGAAGCAGATCGGTTGGTAGTCAGGGTAAAGAAAGGAGGAGGATGAAGAGCTACGTTGTGCATCGGAACGTGGACTAGGCAGCTCGTTGAGATGGTAATGGCTCGCGGGGACAAAAATAGGGGAGATTTACAGTCGACTCAGTTCAGGGCCTGAAGTCAAGAGGTACAACTATGGCCATAGCTGGCCGACAAGGTCAAGGCTATCGTACGTTTTTTTATATGTCTCATCATTCCTTTCCAGCAGTTCAATGTTCAGACCTAGGTACTTCAGCGCCAGACATGCGCTACTCAAACCCTGTTGCCTTATGGCTTGCAAGCCTGGTTACAACCAGAGCGCAGCATTTTTCTCAATATTCAAATGACTGGGGTTCATTGAATTTGACACAGGTATGCTTCAGTGCGCTCAACACGACTGTTTCTTCTTGTCCCTCATTTCTCGCGCGCACCACTACTGGGTTTGCATTCTCCATTCCTCCCAATCAGCCTAGGTAATATGTCTAACCAGATATAGAGACTCTTCTGTGAATATCTTGCCGGAAGAAGCTCTCACTCTACTATGTATCGATGAATGTCGGAGTGAATTGGAATCTGTTCGTGCTGGCATTGCGTCTGCATGCACGGGAAGTCAGGATGTCATGGTATATGAGGGTACGACCTATCTGGGTAACATGGTCTTAAAACTCCAATCACCACCGGATGATTCGAAGGTCTTGCTAATGCGATAACGTTAGCAACTTTCACCGTGGACAATTTGCTTTATACTCATGACGTGACTTGCTATCAAGACTCCTCAACCGGAACATTTTGCGATTTGATCTTGGCTGAATGGCGCAACGAGACCAATATTACAGACACCGCTCATGATTGTGACGACTGCACTCTCGGACCCATGAAGCTCCAGCTTGAGTCGCCTTTGGGATATGATACTGATTGGGCCTAAGAGTTCGCTTCCTTAACTTCTAGCTGCCGCGCCACGGGATGCTCGTATACTTCGCCTGCTGGCTATGCATTGAGTACTTCGACTACAGCCACTGCAGACACTGACATCGAGTGCAACAGCTACAGGAACAGTCGACACGCAGAGCTGTTCATCTACATACACGGTGCAAACGAATGACACGTGCAACTCCATTGCTGCCGGCCAGAATGTGTCAACCTATAACCTGATGATCGCCAACTCCATCAATATCCTATGCACCAACTAGCCGGATGCTGGGGATGAAGTCTGTATTCCCTCTACTTGCAACACCACAACCCTATTACACGGTGACTCTTGTAACGGCTATGAGGCTTCCTGGAATGCTAGTATGGCCCAAATTCTTTCCTGGAATCCGATCATCAGTGATACATGCGACAATCTCGATCTTTTTGTGGGTTGGACCCTCTGTACTGGGTAGAAGTGACTGCGTTCTCTCAAAGACAGATTGTCTCAAGACTTCTAACCGCTTTGCTATAGATCGACGGATGCATGGGCCCCAGCTACCACTGCTACCACGACCACAGCCTCTGCCACGGCCATGCCTCTGCCTACAAACGGCATATCAACCTCGAACCAGAATTGTGCGAAATGGTACACGGTGAGGGCGCCCGCTTTCAAACTACAACACACAATCCACTTACTAACAAGGGTCTCGGGTTGAGGCAGATGATGGTTGCGCAACGATATCCGTCGCCAATGGCATCAACACCGACGAGTTTCTATTTCTCAGCCCTGAAGTCTGGTCAAATTGCCCTAACCTCTGGGTCTACTACGCTTACTGCATCGAGGCGGTTGGTGATGTGGCAACCTATTCCGGATGGACTCAGACCGTCACCACGACAGTCTTTACCAAGCCCGCGAGTACAACCACCACATGGACCGCGGGACCCACGTATACGATGCCCCATGCTCCTGGGACCGAGACCAGCTGTGCGGTATATCGGGACCCCTACAATGCAGCCACCAACCCAATGAAGTCACTGGGCATTAATACTGATTTTCTGTCCAACTTTGCCTCAAATTTCAGCACCTGTTCGTTCTATGCCGACTTCTTCCGAGTCACGGGGGACGAGGCTGTTGGTTGGAATCCCAGTCTGAATGCGGACAATTGCACGCTGGACGCAGCGTACAGCTATTGCGTACTGATTTCAAGCGATTGTATGCACCCACCCACCTCTTTTCCCTTGACCATATCTTTCGCTACACTCCTAGTGCCCCCGGCTAATCTCTGTAATTCCTTCTACAAAAGTTGTCTCGAGCAGGGTCAGCAACGATACCGAGGTCGACAGGAGCTGTCTCTCCGTGGACTCGACATGGTTCGTAAACGGCACGGCATCCAACTGAAAAACCATCATCTATGGAAAGGAACAAGAGGGTAAGATACCCCAGACTCGTAGCCCATAAAAGTTCCTTCGTTCCTTTCTCTTCTCCGAGGAGTTATCGGTTAATCGCTTCTTTGTACCAGGCTTCGACTGTGATATGTTGCTTGAGACCGAATTCACTTGCCCAATATAGCTAGCAGGATGTACATCGCCATGCCCTCTGGAATAGAGCCCTGGTAGATGATCCTCGTTTCTCTCAAGTTGCAGCGACAGCTACTTTAACACCATACCAGCAACAGCAGCAGCTACAATCACTCATCCAAACTCTACCTCCCGTTCATATGTGAATACGAATCCAGGCCCCGAATCTCATCATATTTTATCTCCCCAAAATGGAACCCACATTCCAGAGTGCCAGCTAAATGCTCCCATCTAAGAACACATGAAATCTCATTCTCAAATAGACCTAACCCTATCAAAACACCAACCTAGTCAAATCACTCCACCCCCCAGCTATCATCCATCTCCGCAACATCATAATCGACATCATGGCCGCCGTCCTTCCGGCCGGAGGTCTGATCTGGCACTCCAGCCGCCATCGGCGTGGTGTCCATCAACGTGTCCTCGTCCGAGCCGGCCTTGTTGGTGTCGGAGCCACCCCCACCACCACCAGGCTGAGGAAGGGAGATGGGCGGGTTGGCCACCCAGGCGAGCTCGACCTGACCGACGGACGGGATGTCGCGGGGGCCGAACATGAATTTCTCGGCCTGGTAGCGTTCCTTGAAGGCCACGATGAGGGAGTCGGGCTGGTCGGGATTGGGTTCGATGGAGGAGTATTCGCCGACGCCCTGGATATGATGTTAGCAATTAGAAATTGGCCGGGACTAAGAAAGGGGGACACTTACAATCAAGAACTGTCGCAAGGCTTCATCCTTCTCCGAGTTGAACTCCACCCCGGAGACAGCCACGCGCTTGGGTCGGTTATCCAGACGGAGCACACCGCCACGACCGGCCATGCCACCACGACCACGATAGCCACCGCCGCCCCGATAATAGGGATCGTAGCCGCCCCGGCCACGAGGGGCGAATCCACCTCGACCGTAGGCGCCTCGGCCGCGGCCGCGATAGCCTGGCCCCGACGCACCACCAGCAGCAGTATCGATCCCCAGGCTCTTGGCCTCAGCCTCCAGAGCGGCCAGCTGCGCCCGAAGCTGCTTGGTCTGCTCGCTGACATGCTCCGGTTGCGCCGACGGGGACCGGCCATCTCCTCCGTCGGGAGACGCGCCGCCGCCGCCGGTAGCGTCGCCATTGCTGCTGCTGGCGGCGCCGCTGCCGCCGAGTTTCTGCATCAGCCGCTGTCTCTCTTCCTGCTGCTTCTTGAGCAACTCATCGCGCTGTCGTTCCAGGGCTTGCTTGGCCTCTTCGGTCTCCTTGCGTTTCTTGAGCTTCTCCTCGTGGGCGCGCTGGGCTTCTTCCTGCTGCTTCTCGAACTCCTCCCGGTTGAAAGCCGGGGCCTCCGAGTCGCCGCCCGCGCCGGCGTGATGGTGCGGCCGGGAGTCCCCGTTCCGGTCGCCCTTGGGCTTGTGCCAGTAGACCTTGACGAACCGATTGTCAAAGATCACCTTCGGGCTGGACCAGGCGCTCTTGGCCGCCGCGTGGTTCTCGTAGGTGATCAGCGCGAGTCGTCGGTGTGGCTGTAACGAGAGGTCCGCGATTTCACCGTACTGCGAGAAGAACTCCCGGACCGTCGCGTCGTCGAGCTTGTCGTCGGGAATCTGCTCCACGACGATTGTCGTAATCGACGTATCCTCGTTGGGACCAGCAGAGGAGATCTCGGACCGACGTCCTCGGCCGCCAAATCCCCCTCTGTCGCCGCCACGGCCACGGCCACGACCGCGGTCGCCGCCCCGCATTGGCGGCCCCTCCGATCGTCTCTGGTAGTCTGTAACGATACTCGAAGCCTTGGGATCGTATTCTGCGCCTCAAACAAAATCAGTCCTCAGTCACGCCTCTTGGATAGTAAGCCAAATACATACCATCCGTCTTCGAAGCCCCGCCCGCAGTATCATGCTGGTACGGACACGTAGTCCCCAGGTAGCAGATTCCCTGCGTCTCATAGAACGGACACCGCTCCGAGCTCTTCGGCACCATTTCGCCCGGCTGCTGCCCAGCGCCCGCCGGCGGCATCGGCATCGGCGGCATTCCCGGCATTTGGGGGAACCCCATGCTCTGCAGCGCCATCATCGCCGCCATGGGATCGTTCTGATCGAACGGTGGGAACGTGGGGGGCATGACGAATCCCGGGGCTTGAGGGTTGAAGGTGTGTGGTTGCTGCTGTTGCCCGGGTCCGCCTGCGCGACCATCCCTGCCACCCATCCAGTCCCCTCGGCCACCACCACGTCCCCGGCGGGGAGTCTTGTAGTTGCGATTTTGCGGGACTTCTTCGCGGTCCACGTCCATCTGGAAACCCTCCTGAAATGTACGCTTGCGGTTAAAGTTGTGCTGACCATCATTACCTGGCGCTTGTCCGGGGAAATTGTTGCCCATCTGCTGTGCTCCGATGGGGCCCTTGGAAGGACCGGTCGGAGGATTGAATGCATTCTGTTGTTGCTGCTGCTGCTGTTGTTGTTGTTGTTGCTGCTGCTGCTGGTTCTGGGGAGCGGGCGCAGATGCATCCTGCGGCTGGCCCTGCGCATACGACGGTTGGGCAGCAGCAGCGGGTTGCGGTTTCGATGCAAAGGTCGCAAAGAGCTCGTCGACGAATTTCACGGTGTCTGTCCATTACCCGAAGATAAACAGAGAACGTCAGCAAAATGTAGCCATTGTGACCAAGCACACAATAAAACCATCTCATCTCAAGCCCGGCGGCGCACGGGAAAAAAGAACTAACGTTCACGAAGGAAATCCTCCAAGTTATCCACCGAAGCTTTCCGGATATCCTCGTCGGGAGCATCGGTCCTGATCAGCGCCAGAACATAGTCGGCAAGTACATCGGAGTCGGCATCAGAGCTGTCAGGCGACGAGAAGTTAGTCGTCGAGCGAGAATTCGAGCCAACGGCGTGCGCGGACAAGGCAGATTGGGCGCCCAAGGCGTGGCGGTTCCTCTTGCGGATAGAGAACAACACTTACATATCCTCCAGCTTCCTGACAACCCATTTCTTCACCTCCGTTGCCTCGTTCTCGGTAAGTTGCATGATGCTGGGTAGGGTCGCGCAATCTGGGCCCGATTGTCACCAAAGAGAGGGGTCTGTGGCTCGAAGCTCTTGACGGTCGATCAGGCAGGCGTCCGTCCTCGCCGTTTGAAACCGACAGCTGGAACCGAGGAACTCGAAAAGAGGTTGCAAGGGAGAGACACTATCCAGCGACTGCAAGAATGATGGGACGAAAGCGATGCGAACGACAGATCAAATCATGGCTTGGCAGGAAGGGCTCGATAAATATTCGACAAAGCCTAGCGGTTCGAAAAAGCCGGGGAAACGCGAGCGACGCGGATGACAGAATACCACGTGACTGCCCTCCGAGCCTGTTAGTTGCTTAATTCTGACGAAAACTTCTACTATCAAAACACACCAGCACAAATCAACTCCGTATAGTCTACAGGCCAACTACAGAACAGCTACGTCTACGAGTCTTTCAGAACCACCGAGTTGAACTTGAACTGCCATCTCATATTTTAATGTCCAACTATGGGACAGCAAGTGAACTATTGGAAAAGCTCTCGCAGTCGTAAACGTAATAAAAAAGCCAAAGCAAATGCTCGTGCACACCTGGATTCTACTTCTAGGTATTCGACAATCCACATACGACATTAAGCTGTTTCACCTCATTTTCATTTTCCTTCCCCCTCAGCGTAGACAGGGTATTGCGTTCGTCAATCTCATAATAGGATTCCAACCATCACAGACCTGAAACCTAGTCGGCTTGCTTGGAACGTGTTTACAGCTTGTCGTAGTACTGCAGAGAGAATTAGTATCAGATCGAAAATCATAGTGAGACAGAAAAAACTTACGTTCTCGTAGCCAGGAACCTGCTCCTTGAGACCCTTGCGCTTACGCATCTCAGCAACGATCTGACCGGGCTTGGTGGTGGCATCAAGAGGAGATCCACCAGGGAGGACAGACCAGTGGTCGAAGACAGACTGGGGGAAAGCCTGACCACCGGTGGCCTGACGGAGCTCTCCGGGGAAACCGAAGGACTCGTTGACGGGCAGGTAGGCCTTGACGTTGAAGAGGGGAGTACCAGGGCGCTGCTCCTCGGTGTAGACGTGACCACGGCGGCGGGTGAGGACACCGTAGATACCACCCATGGCCTGCTCGGGAACCTGGATCTCGACGTTGAAGATGGGCTCCAGGATACCGGGGTCGGCAAGCATGGTAGCAGCATACAGGACACGACGAGCAGTGGGGATGATCTGACCACCACCACGGTGAATAGCATCAGCGTGAAGAGTAACATCAAGGATGTTGAAGCGGATGGAGCGCATGGGCTCCTCAGCAACGGGACCCTCGCGGGTGGCCCACTGGAAACCGGAGACAACGGAATCCTTGATTTCGTTGAGGTACTGGACGGCCTTGGTCTGGTCAACCAGCAAGTTGGCACCGGAGGTGTCGGGACCGAAACACCAAATCTTACGGGCATCGGTGACATCCCAGCCGTGCTCGTCAGCGAGGATACGGGCACGAGCCTTGAAATCGTCACGGGGGCTGATCTTGCCGGCCTCGATGGCGAGGGAGACCTCCTCGTCAAGGGGCTGAGCAGTCAGGTAGAGACGGTTGTGCTTGTTGGGGGACTTGGACAGGGCAGTCATGCTGGAGGTGCCGCTGACGGTCTCACGGTACTGAACGACGGGGTCGGAGATACGGAGAGGAACACCAGCGTGGTCCTCCTCGAGATCCTTCAAGCAAATCTCGAGGTGAAGCTCACCAGCACCGGCAACGACGTGCTCACCGGACTCGGAGATGTAGGTCAGGACACAGGGGTCGGACTTGGACAGACGCTTGAGACCCTCGACCAGCTTGGGCAGATCCTGAGCGTTCTTCACCTCAACGGAGCGCTGGACGACGGGAGAGACGGAGAACTTCATGACCTTGAGGTTGTGGGCGGTCTCGTCGGTGGTAAGAGTACCGGACTTGAGCAAGAACTGGTCAACACCGACCAGACCAACGATGTTACCGCAAGGAACATCCTCGATGG